ATAGGGGTTTTCCCTTTGAAGGAACCTTGGATGTTGAAGGATCCGTGTTCTTACCTGACTCCGCCGGAGGTGCGGGGGCAAGGGGAACGGGACTTGGATTTGGTGAAGGTTGGGCAGCAACATCTTCAGCTCTCGTCTTAGGAGTTGGTTTCGCCTTCAGCATCCACACCTGCTTGAGCTTTGGCGGGGTCTTGACCGCCTCTTCTTTCTGCATCTCCTCCGCTTTCTGTAGGAGAGCTCGGGCATGCGCAAGCAATGCGCGGCGCTTCTTGATTCGCTCTTCGAGGGTCGAGCGAGTCCTCGTGACACGAATCCAATCATTCGTTTCTGCTTTGAAGGAGGAGTTAGTCGCGTACCGTTGTTGCTCCAGGCGCTGTCTCGATTTGAGATCTTCGTTGTAACGGACCCCGTCCATAGGCTCCAAAGCCTTGGCCATCTGACGAGCAAGGTGTTGACGCCGTCTTTGGCGTGTTCTCTTTGATACCGCTGGAGCACCTTCATTAGCCATCTTCTTGGCGGAGGAGAAGCCCAGATCTGCGATCTTGACTACGTTGGGCGACGCGGAGACGCCACGTGGTGCGAGTGCAGCGATGGTAAGGGGCTCTTGGGTCTCTGAGCCGAGGGTCCCGCGAACGACTCTGGAGGAGGATACCTTCCTGCGCCTGCTTGGAGAGGCGGATCTGGAGGAGGAGGAAGAGAAGTACTCTTCGAACTTTTGTTGATCGAACTTGTATTCGATCTCTTCATTCACCCGGATCTTGAATGCCGGTTGCGTCACGACGGCGTCGGTAGCGATGCCGTTGGCTCCCACTGTGGTCGCCAGCTTGTTTTCGGAAAAAGTTGCCTTCATCATTGATTTCATTAAACTTCAATCATTACAAATGAAATTCAAATAACAAAGAAATAATAAAAAAAAATTACAACTTTTTGAAAATAAACACAAGATCCTGTTTTACGGTCTCTTGCTTGCGTGGGTCTTTGGCCTGTGACGGGGACGTTGATATCCGTGGACCACCGGGCAATCAGATCTGATCCGAAAGAATCGGACAGAGCTTCATCGATCCGCGTGAGATCTAGAAGCTTTAAGCGTATACCTCGGCTAAAGCGAGATATTAGCTCTTCTTAGTATTAACGCCAAGGGCTAATACTAAGGATCGGACGGGTGTTGAAGATCTGATGACGACCCTCTCCTCTGTTGAAGCGCTCGACCACTCTTCACTGCAGCAGGGCTTCGCCAAGGCTCTCCAAAAAATCCTCCCCAAAACAAAGGCCCAAGGGGGGGTATTTATAGGTGAATGAGGGCTCTAGGGGGCCTAGACACCCCCTGGTGTCTCGGCCATGGGTGTCTAGGCTTTTCCTAGACACCCCCCGGGGTGTTTCGACCTCCCGAGACTCCGTTTGAGGTGATTCGGTTGTTTTCCCTGTAAATTCTTCGTCCGAACTCGGATTTGAGTGATTCCGGGTGCGTTGGATGCTTGACGAAGAGTTCGATCCGCTCTGGTGGTTGGATTGTCTGTAGAGTGGTCGAGGCATGAAGGGCATTGTCCTTTTTGTGAACATCGTCGGGTTCCCGATTGGCCCGGGTCTTCTTTGTTCCGAAATCCTATCAGCTCACGTAGTTCGTCGATTCACTTCAATCGTTCATCGACGTCAATTGGACTCCTATGGATCGGATAGTGACGTTCATCGTCGCTCTTTAACAATGAACCGTTCGTGGAGACCTATAGGCAATTTTCGATGCCTACAATGATTACAAGAGTTGAGAATTTTAGTCCTAGTGTGTTGAGATGGCATTAGAACTAATCAAAATAATTCAATAATCAATCTAGTGTTTTTCCTAAGGGGGTGTTAGTCAATTGGAACATTTTCATGCAAAATGGGATAATTATTAAAGTGGAATAATATTTCGCTAGTGGGATATTTTAGTGGGATAACTAGGAACAATTTTGTGAAGCAGATATTTTGATAAAATAACGTGGGATAAATTTTTATAATCATGAAGTATATATTTATGCATTTTGAAGATATAAATATTATTTATGTATTTTAAACTTACTATTATTAATTGATAATTGCTTACAAGAATGTTCGTTACTATTAAATAACTTTTGGTTAGACTATAAGATATTGACAATTATTATTATGATGATGGTTTAATGATGGTGATAACCATAATAGGAAATAAGTAAAGAAAAAAATAAAAAATAACAAAATAAATACGAGTTCTAGTTTTTTACCACATAGTTCCAAACTAAAACTTGGAATAATTTGAGAGACTAGAACTCTCATTTTTGTATAGAAAAATAAAAAAAGTGGGATAATTTTGTACAATTATCCCAATTCTAGTTTTGTTAAAGTTCTGCTTGACTAACATTGTAAAATTTTATTCTAGTTTTAGTTCTATGTGACTAACACCTTAAAATTTTGTTCTAGGTTTAGTTCTATGTGACTAACACCTTAAAATTTTATCCCACAGATTATCCCAGTTCTAATTTTAAGTTCTAGGTGACTAACCCCCCCTAAGTTGATTGAATAGTTAAAAAAAATCTTTGTTATTCTGCAATTTCTGTTCATTGATTAACCCATACCAACTTGATAAATAATTTCTCATCATTCAAGAGCTATACCATAATCAAGGCATTTCTTTTCTTCATCCTATACTGTTAATATCTATCTATTTGTTATGAAGGGGATATTTACATAAAAAGGAAAAATGAACATAAAAAGGAAAAATGAGATGAAAGATAAAGGATAAATCAAGTATAAAATTCATATCCTAGTGCTTCCTATTTTAGAAGCTCTTTGAACCAACAGGAATTTGGTTTAAGCTATATTATTTCTACTAATGGTTAACATGCTCATTTCTCCGACATGAGGATTGACATCAATGAATCCAGCTGAAGCTTTTATTTGAAATCCACTTTGTTGGACAACGTATCAGAAAACTCGTAAATTTTTATGTGTGAGTTTTATATCATGTAGTCAGAGGTTTAATAGTAAATAAGAATCAAACAATACCTCTTACAAACATGAAATGCAAACCAATTTTACACGTGCGGGAACCAATGCATAAGAACAATTAAAATTTTCAACATCTTTTCACGTTCTCTTCATATATCATGTTTTAGAATACTGGTGGGCGAGAAATCTGATGGGTTGGCGTAGTGGTGTAAGGCCTTGTTGTCCTCCCTATTGGGGATGATCTATAGCGGGCTAGTCTCGTGTTTGAATTCCCCAGTAGATAATTAAAATACCTCGGAGCTAGTGCCGGCCACGAAGCACCAGCAAGGATTTGCCTTAGGGGCTGTTCGTTTGGCCAAAAAAACCTGGAAATCAAAAAATAGGAAACATATTTCCTATTATAATGGTTTTGAAGTTGTTTGGTTGGCTTAAAAAAGAAGGAAATTATAGAATAGGAGATGAGATGAGATGAGTTGTCACCTTATTATTGGATGATGTGAGTGATTTTTTAAAAAAACTTATTTTGAGGTTGTTTGGTTGGTTAAAAAAATAAGGAAATGAATTGGAGGTATATTATTGGATGATGTTTTGAGGTTGTTTGTGTTTGGTTTGTTTTTAAAAATAAGAAAATAGATTGTTTGTGTTTGGTTTGTTTTTAAAAATAAGAAAATAGATGAGATGAGATGAGTTGGAGGTATATTATTAGATGATGTGACACGTACTTAAGGAAATTGATTTCTTGTTTTTTTTGAGGAAATGGATGGAAATGAATGTTTAATGAGATGAAATGAGTTGTCACAATATTATTGGATGATGTGTGTGATTTTTAAAAATGAGATAAAATGAGATGTGATGAGTTGGATGATGTGACACATTTCTTGTGTTTGTTTTATTTTTAAAGGTAATAAAGGAGATGAAATGAGATGAGTTGGAGGATAAAAATAATATTTTATTAGATGTTGTGGGTGAGTTTTAGGGATGGAAATTGATAAAAATATTATTTTATTGATTTCCTTGTACCGATTTCCTTTTCTTGGTTTTTAGGAAACCAACCAAACAGCCCCTTAATCGAAAAGGTATGGGGATACCTCGTCGTCAGGATAAATAATAATAATAATAATAATAATAATAGTGGGCAAGAGCTCTGCTAGGGATTATGCTATTTAAGTATCTTATATGTTATGGGAGAAAACATAATAAATATTCTACTCCCAAAATAAATATTTCTAGTCCTTTTTAACAAGAAAGAAGCCGGGGCTTCTTACAAACAAATTTCATTTATAAATAAACAAAAAAATCGAAGAAATTTTCTAAATAAACTCATTCATATTTTTTTTCTAAAACTAGACCCCCTTGAGTTTTATTTAAAAAACAGATTCGTTTTATCTTAATCCGGTTCCTAAATAGTCGGGGTTACCAACCCTGACTATTTAGGAGGTTGTAAACACCTAATTATAACTCTAAACCCTAACATTTTATGTACTAAATAGTCGGGGTTGGCAACCCCGACTATTTAGAAATCGGAGTAAGACAAAATGAGTCGATTTTTGTAAAAAAAAACTCAAGGGGTTTATTTATTAAAAAAATTATGAATAGGTTTGTTTAGAAAATTTCTTAAAAAAACTAATAAAAACATGCCATGTTAAAAAGAAGAAATTTTCTGAACAAACCCATTAATAATTTTTTTTTTCTAAAAATAGACCCCCTTGAGTTTTTTTTACAAAAATCGACTCATTTTGTCTTAATCCGGTTTCTAAATAGTCGGGGTTGCCAACCTCGACTATTTAGTGCATAGAATGTTAGGGTTTAGGGTTATAATTGGGGTTTACAATCTCCTAAATAGTTAGGGTTGGCAACCCCGACTATTTAGGAACCGGATTAAGATAAAATAAGTCTATTTTTGTAAATAAAACTCAATGGAGTCTATTTTAAAATATATATATATAAATGAGCTTATTTAGAAAATTTCTACCATGTTAAAAAAGGCAAGCACGTGCAGAACACACGCACAAAAGCAAACGCTCCACGGTTAACAGTGGGTTTTTCCCCCATTTCGCCGTCTCAAAAAACTTAAACCCTAAAACTCTACCCTCCGCCGCCTCCCTTCAAATCTTCACCGTCCGTACTCCGCCGCGATGTCGGCAGCCTCCAGAGGGCTATTCTTTAGCCTCCGCCCCGCTTCAAGATTCGTGCTCCCCCAATTCCTCTATTCTAGAAGCTTCGGTGCTGCGGCGTTGGCCGACGATTTGGAGTCTAACGCCGTTAGGGTTATCGAGGCGAGGCCTAGGGAACTTACGCCGGAATCGAAGAGGACGGGTGCGATCGCCGTTAAGTGTGGGATGACGGCGTTATGGGATAAGTGGGGAGCTAGGATTCCGATCACGATCCTTTGGTTGGATGATAATGTTGTTACTCAGGTTAAGACGCCTGAGAAAGAAGGAATCACCGCGCTTCAGGTGAGAAGTTTCGTAAAAATGTGATCTTGGCGATGTTTGTTTAGGGTTCCATGTTTCCGACTGTGTCAAAATCTGTTATAGAATGTGAATTTTCGATTGAAAGTTTATTTCTTGGTTCATAAATGATGAATGTGAATTTCGAGTAGTAAGATTTATGATACAAGTATATTAATGTGACAATACTTGATAAATTTTTTAATTTATTTTCTAGAGTCATGTTGGTGGTAAAAATGATGGTAACTATATTAGAGGATAAACAGCAACTGTTAAATTCATTGTTCAGTGTTCACTATCGTAAATATTGAATTAAATTCATTTTGCAAAATTGAAACTAATTGATCAAGGTTGCGTCCTACAATGCTGAAAAGGCTATTTGGGGTGCACTAATTGAACTGTTTATGGTTTTTTGGCAACTAATTGGGGTGAATTAATTGAATTAGATCCTGGGGTTTGATTTTGAATTGGGTTCTTATGTACATGCTACGGTGCTAGTTAGATTGGGATGGGGCAAAAGAAGGAGAAGCACCTGACAAAGCCTGAGGTAGGGCATTTCAGAGCTCAAGGAGTACCTCTAAAGAGGAAGCTGAAGGAGTTCCCAGTAACCGAGGATGCACTTCTTCCCGTTGGAACGCCAATCACTGTCCGACATTTTGTTCCGGGCCAGTATGTAGATGTTATTGGCATTACGCGGGGTAAAGGTTTTCAGGTATTTAGATTGCATATTTTATGTTGTGTATTATGTGCCTGCTTTCTCTTTCGATTTTTGAAATGAACTTGATGGTTGTAAAACAAACTGATATTACATTCTTATTTGTGTATGCAAATGTTGGTAGGGTGTTTTGTTCGATGGGGATTTTTAGGAGGTTAGGTTAAATATCACCTTACTGCGTCAGGCAATTCAAAGATAAAGGATATCATTATTGAGAACTTAATATTATTGAATTACACTAGAATGTCAATTGTGGATCATATACAAAGCGATCTTGGTTACTTAGACGTGTATCTTTTAAACTTAACAGTGATGCTAGCAAACGGGTAGGTTTTTTATGCGAATTGCTTGAGAAATTGTAACATCTTGTCTATGTAGTACAAACACTTCACTCTTAGTAACCTGTTTGTCATTAAAAAGATCCAGAAGAATATTTAAGTCGGTAGATCTGAAGAATGAATTCTAATGCCATTTTGACCTTTAACATTTTTACCAATGAAAATATTTTTTCTTTGTTTCTATTTTTTAGGGTAAATTCAAGAACTAGCTTAATGTTTCATGGATTTTTATGAAACTATCATGATCTAGTTTTATTTTAGTTAAAAGAAGTGATAATTAATGGTAGAAGGACTAGAGGTTTGCCTAAGAGAATTTAGTTAGAAGCTGTTAAAAAAATTATATTGATATACTTTAAGAGATAGCCCTCATAGAAACTGAGTTGATGAGTAGAATTCATGGCAGCCGATCCCAAAATTTTGTGATTGTTACCATTGCTGGTGCTGACTTTGCAATTGACAGAGAACCAAACCCATAACAACATTAACGGCATAAAAAGACTAATTCTCCTTCCTGTACACACAATTTGACCATATTACTCGCATTTTCTAACTTGTCCAAAGTTGATTACATGCAAGTCATGTTATTAGTTAAGCTAATGGATGGTAGTTTAGGTCTTGTTAGCAAATTGAAAAATTTGTTTACGGCAACTTTCTGAAAGAAAACCCTAGAAAGTTAGTGGAACGTTTTAAATTTTTATTTGGAAAATTACTCTTAATTTTATAATGGAGTTGAAGATCTTTAGTTCTCACCCTGTGAATTAAAAGAGTCTTTCTGGCTCGTAGTTGAAAAACCACGATCTTCATCACTTTTTCTTCTAGGACCTGCTTAAAGCAGAACTGGTGAAGGTATCATTTTAACAATACTTTTATGAATGCAATCTTCAAATGGATTTATGAGGGCAAATGTGTCTTTTCCATATTCATCAAGTTGGTTGTATCAACAGTTTCTGTTATCTTTACAAATAGGCTCTCTTTTATGAAGAGCATGGGTAGGAATGGTAAGAGGACAATTGAAATTTGCAGGTTGCCGTTAATCAAGTACTAATAAAATAAGTACCCTTTATATGCGTTGGATTCCTGATAAGTTGCAGATTGTACTCTATAATACTTGTACAGAAAAGTATGTTCTTGCACACGCTGTTTATTGGTTTTGCATTCTCATGTTCTCTGCTTATTTCTCTATGATATATTATGTTTTTTTGTTAATAATGTCTTGTGCTGTTTCTGTTAGCTAACATCTGCCTAATTTAAGGGCTTATCAGCTCCTTGATCCATTAATATGGAAATGGCTATAATGTTATAAATATATTGTGACTAAGTTTTTCTTATTTCTACTATAAACAGGGTGGAATGAAGAGGTGGGGCTTTAAAGGAATGCCTGCAAGTCATGGTACTTCATTAACTCATAGAAATATTGGTTCTACTGGGCAGAGAGATGCTCCTGGAAAGGTATAGCCTTGAATATAAATAAATTCTTTCATGTGTGATCCAATGTCTTGTGTTGGTTCTTGAAGAATTTTCATGTCATTGATCATTGTATAAATCTAGCATTGTTGATTATGCAAGTAGAATTTGGATCTATAGAAGCTGAAAGTTCACTGTAAACTAGATTTTTAGGGTTAACTATTGCTATTTCATGTATTGGCTAGTTTAAGTTTTCCAATAACTTCTTTATAGAAATCCACATGCAGATTATTACAATGTTGCTGGATGTATGACTATAAGACTGTCTAAAAATGTCTCTGGGATTGGCATGACCCACAGTAGGAAGAGTATTGATGTTTAGACTGCAATATCTAGGATGTTTGCTCTTTCGATAAGCAAGTCTCTACTGTCCAAGTTATATTTAATTATTCCATCACTTCCCATTTCCTGAAATATAACAGGCTGGGTTAAGTAACTCTCTTTGTAACTCTCCAAGTTATACTCAAGTATCCCATCTTTCTTCATTTCCCGTAACAGAATAGCGCTCAAATAAGTGATCTGTACTGTGGTTGACAAAAGTGCTTATAGTAGCAGGTGCGCATGAGCATTAGTCATTTCTGCTATTGGTGAAGAGATTATACCCATTTTTCATTAGCGGTGTCAGAAAACATGCTTGTGAACTTATTCTCCTTGGTAACTTTGATACACTGAATTATGTATGTATACATCTGAAGAGAGATTAGCTGACCTAGTGCTTAGCAGCTTATGCTCTATAAGATAGTATAACTTTTTTTTTTTTTTTTGTGATGCTTAAATAGGTCTTCAAAGGGAAGAAAATGCCTGGGCACATGGGAGCTGCTCAACGGACAGTGAAGAATGTATTTGTCTACAAAATTGACCCTGCAAGAAATGTGATGTGGGTGAAAGGGCAGGTTAGTCTCTTATTTTTATAGTGGTTTGAGGCCATTGTTTTCAAAGCATTGGGGGGAAGGGTTAATGTCTGATAGACTCCCTATACTATCTCCCAATTGCGGATAGACCCCATGTAGTTCCATTGTTGCAGATAGATCCCTGCGTGATTTTTTTACTCTTTTACCCTAAGGGAAAGTTTTTTTTTTTAGCCAATATGCCTCCTGAGGGTAAACGAGTCAAAATAATTTCACTCCAGGGACTTATCAGCAATTGGCCGATAGTATGGGAGGTCTATCCACAACAATTCAACTGTGGGTGTCACCGCAATTAACAAAAAGATCAGATAAGTTAAGGAGTAAGATCGTTGTTTTCTCCCACTTTTCAGGTTCCTGGAGCTGAAGGCAACTTTGTTTTCATAAAAGATGCTGTATACAAAAACCCCATCAAGGATAAACCCTCAAATTTACCAGAGATTCCGTTTCCAACCTATTTTATTCCAGAGGGAGAGGAGGCATCTGAGCTTGAACCCCTGGTTGCTGATATGGGAGATGTGGATCCTTTCATGGTGGCAGATTAGCTGATGGCTTGAAGAGTTAGAAAGAGCATCTTATGTTTTCTCTCTTTTAAAATGGGTTGTAAGGGCAGTAATGTAATCCTTAGTTTTTCCCCTTTCTTTAACAGGGTATTGTTTCGATGAAATTTTGATGGTAATCCTTTTGAACGGCTTCATCATTTTGTATTGAATCTCCCATTCAGTGAAGCTAGGAATTGCTGTTTTGTTTTCATGTAAGCATGGAAATGAGTTCCAATAAGTTCTGTATGATGGAAGGAAGATTGCTTCGTTTATTGTAGAGTCTATTATTGACTAGTGAATTATTGTGCGCTTGATGCCCTTGCTTGGAGTAGTTCACATTCATAGATGAAGAGTTATATGCTTTTAAGAGGTCAGAGCTATCTTCAACTTTTATGGGTTTGCTTCTTATTCGAAGAAAATGTGCGTCTCTAAACCTTTGATGTTTTGGAAATTACTCTCTTAGACCTTGATATTTGTCAATTTATGCCTAAATAATATGTATATCTGTCAATGATATTAGTCAATCTCCTTCCCTCATTGTGAGTCATTGTGAGATAATGAGATTGGAATCTTTTTTTTTCCTTTTCTCTTTTTCTTTTTTTTCCTTTTTTTTATTTGACCAAAAGGCCAACTTGGTTCCTATACTGAGTCTTGATACTGGTTTCCTCGTTATATTATTTCTTTTTTTCCTCAACTTAATCTCTCTATCTCTTATTAGATGTAAATTTAGTCCTTTTTAAATTTTTGGTTAAAAAATCTATTAAATATTAATTGAAAGGACAATTCTACCCTTATCCAATCATTTCCCTGAAGAAAAGATTAGAAATCACATTTTGACTGTCATTCGTTCCAGATTGTTGATTTGGACTCGAACAATTATCCATGATCCAACATTCTTGAATTGGGACCTGGACTTAGATTTATGGTTGGAACCCCGAACTTGTGGATTGGATTTTTTCATTTTGTGAATAGAATTCTTGAACTTTTGCTTTGAATTCGTAGACTGAGAGCTGGATTCTCGGGCTAAATTTTAGATTTGTGGATTATTTGTATTAGGAGTTTCAAATTAAATTATTACGTTTAATAATAATCATTAACAAAAAAATTAATTTGAAAAACCACCACCATTTCGATTAACGTATGACAACAACAAAAACTAAATATATCTTGTAATTTATTTAAACAATTCAAACGAAATGTATGTAATATAGTATTAAATATTTGAAATATTCGTATATTTAAGAAATGTTAAATAATGAACATATCCAAGTTAATGTTAAATATTAAATATATTAGATGATTAAGTAGTATTAAATATATTTCATTTTAAATGAATTAGATAAATTTAAAGAATTTGACTAAAAATATTTTATTTTAAAATTAAATACATTCAATGTAAATATATAATAACTTGGAAGTATTTAATATTGTAAAATTAAATATATTTAATTTAAAATATATTAAATATTTAAATAAGTAAAGAGAATAGGTGAGAGGAAAACCACATAGTAACATCAGAATCTATTAATTTTAACTTGAACTTTCTGTTCATTAAAAACAATAGAGTTGGAATGAAATGTGGCTTTTGAAATCCTAGTCCTGAGAACAATCCTTGATAACCAATAACGCTTCTAATTCAAATCAAAATTTTAGTCCTAAACCAATAACATGTTAAATTCAAATTCAAATCCAAATCGTACTCCTAAACCAAAACACATTAAATTCAAATCTGAATCCTAGCCCTAAACCAATGACATCTTACGTTATACCCATAAAAAATACTAAATATTAATATCTATAGTGAAGTTACATAACCTGACTAATTCAAGGCTAAGATAATATCCACCTCGACTCGGCCCACTATTCAACAAATATCTCGTGTAACCGAGTCAAGAGGCGATACTATTCGGCCAACCCCTCAATTGATTCCACAAGCAACCCGGCTCGGCCTACTATTCAGCAAACATCTCGTGTAACCGAGTCAAAAGGCAGTACTTGTCATCCAACCCAACCAATCGCCAATATGCAGGCAAATAACCTTCACTCGACCCATTATATCAGTCACCAATATGCGTAGTCGGCCATCAGCTGGACGACTGAAGAGGTGGTAGTTTTCTCGAACCCTGCACCGATAGCCGTCTGCCTTTGCATTAACTGCCCTGACAAAGTCATTATTGCTCCAGTCCATAAAGTCTTTGTGCCTTATCAGGCTCTGTCAACACCAAGCAGCTGCTGTCGCTTGACACTAACCAACTGGATGGCCCATCTTCGCCAGCAGTCGACACCTGTCGGATGTCTACCGACTCAGCTACTTGGTTAGACTCGGCCCAAGTTATCTTTTTGCCCCTCATATCCACTATAAAAGGAACGTCACTGCATGAGGTAACTCTCTCTGACCTTTTTAACACAACTAAGAGCTAACCATATACTTCCCCACTTAAGATCATCTAGTGACTTGATCGTTGGAGGAACAACTGGAGAACCCAACTTCGCCCTCTTACGAGTTCTTTTTTGTACAGGGAATAACAACAAACCCCAAAACCATTCATTAGAAGGAGTTAAAGGACCCTAATTACTTCACAAAACTCTCAGATAACCCCATGTTTGATAACAGACATCAACACCTTAATTTTAAATTTAAATTTAAGTCCGAAACGAATGACACACTAAATTGAAATCCGATGAATAGTCCAAGTCCAAATCTGTTGGGGATTCGAAATAATCAAATCAAATCCGTACCCTTTCCGGATCTTGTGTTTGAGAGTTGAGCAAGAAAGAAATTCACCACAAATCAAAGATAAAAACTTGTAGGAAAGTAAACAAGAAAGAACACACCAGATTTAACAAGGTTCGGTAACGTGCCTACGTCATCGGGAGCCACACCACACAATTCTTTGATTACTTGAAGAAGATTACAATGCTTACAATTGGCCTCTCTCTCTCTCTAAGATTTCTAATCTCAAAGAGTCTTCAAAACCATCTTTTTTTTCGTGCTCTTTTTCTCTCTTAAACTCTAAGGTACCGTTTGGCAAAGAGTTAAGTGAGGGGTTAAGGAGACTTAACCCCTTCTTAACCTGCCAAACACAACAAATCTATATAAGGGTTAAAGTGAATTAACCCTCCATAATTTGCCAAACATAAAAAATATAGAAGAGTTAAGTTAACCTCTCTAGAGGGGTTAAAATGAGTTAACCCCTCAAAATGAGGGGTTTACTAATACTCTTATTTAGATGGAATAAGAGTTAACCCTTCTAATTATAAAGAAAATAGTCAAAATCATTGTTATTCCCAAACACTAAAACTGATCATAAGGGCTAAAAAAAACTTATTTAACGGGTTAATAATTTAGTCATTCGGATTATCAAATGGGCTAAGTACATTAATCATTCTCTTTAACCCCTCTTCATTAACCCTTTGCCAAACGGGGCCTAAAGGGACGTGTTTCTATTTATAACAAAACACAATCTCAAACAGATTAGGATTCTAAAATGAGTCTGCCACACCCTGGTGTGGCGCAGACCACATCCATGGCAGACATGGCAGATTCTGCCACACCCTGGTGTGGCACAGACCACACCCATGATAGACAGAGCAGATTCTGTCACACCCTGGTTTGACGCCGACCACACCCATGACCTATCTTGAATTTTCATGCGATTGTTGATTTTGATTCTAGGCTTGGGTCTCCCCTCTCAAGACCAACAAAATCAACAATCCTCAACCAATAACCCCTCAGGGTATTTTCACATGATAATTTTTCGGATTTTATACCTCTGAACTGGATGAGGAACTAAACTATCCGTGCTCTTAAATGGGGTCTCTATATGCGTGCCATATTAACGGACTGCTTGGTGTTTTCAAGGTAAAAACATTAATAATTTGCAAGATATCCATATAAATTAGCTGTACTCTTCGTCCTGGAGTGATGAATGTATATTAGGTCTTTGAAAATACGAAAGCATATTTACCATAGTTATTGTTTTTAATTCGAAATATTATTCTTGANAGTAAGAAGCATTCTCTATGGCAAATGTCCTGAATTGTTTTCAAGAAATAAGTTTATTGTTAAAATAGTTTTATATGCGTTTTGACAGTGAAAGCCTTTGAATGGAATTATATATTAGGAGAGAAGATAAAGGAAAAAAATAGTTCAAATGAAACCTGAAATCATGCTTACATGTTTAGTGGCATTGTGTGCATACATGATCATATAGCCATTGGTTTTCAATGGGTGCAAAAGGAGTTTCTAAATTAGAAACATCAGGATCTCTTATTGAGGGTAATGTGGTCATAAATGAAAATTTTAGTAAGAGACGAGTGCGAGATCGTTTGCTATATCCACTACCAAACAGTAACTTTGGGAGTTGGATTGCCGAAAATGCCCTTTTGGACTTGGCCTGGTTTGGTTTGGGAGAAGGGCAATTTAGTCCTCACACACCCCCAAAGTTACTGTTTGGGAGTGTGAATAGTTGGACCCGTGCGAGATCAACTGCATGTGTTGATATATTGAAAGTGAGTTTTAAAAATTTTGTCATCCCGGTGGTGTTAGTGGTTTTTAGATGTTTTAGAAATAAATTAAATTTTAATATAGCTTAGATATCATTTTAAATTTGAAAAATGAAGGTTAACTTCTCAATGATTTTTTTTAAAACAAATTAATCTTTTTTCAAAAAAAATGAAAAAAAAAAACAAATTTGGCCCCAAACTTTATTTTTAACCTAGCGTAAATATCATTTAAAGTTTAAGAAAAATTACGGCTAATTTCTCAAGGATTTTTCAAAATTTTCGAAAAATTTTTAAGAGAAAAATTAAGGCAAACTTCTCGAGGATTTTTCAAATTTTCAAAATAAAATAAATTTTTTTTTAAAAGCAATTTAGGGCCCAACCGGGTTCGAACCGGTGACCTATTGATCTGCAGTCAATTGCTCTACCACTGAGCTATGGACCCCTTTTTAGTGACTGTTCATGTAGAATTAATTTCAATGCTAATATTCTTTTTTGTGGAAATTATAGGCGGGCAGATCTCCAGTTTTAAAGCCATTTTCCAATCTTTCCCTCTCTAATTTCTAGGGTTCTGTCTAATTACCCCAAAGTTCCCCTCAAAATTCCCCCCTTTCACCCCCAAAAAATCCTCAGCCATGGATCCCGCCGGCGTAGCATCGGAATCCTCAGTCCGCCGCCCTGTAACAACTCTCTTAACTCTCTCTCCTCTCATTTCCATCAAACTCTAACCTCCTTCTAACTCTCTCTCTCTCTCTCTACAGAAAAGAGCTTCTGCTGTTGCTTCTGCCTTCGGAGCTCCGACCAAATCGACGGGCTCGACTGAACCAGAGTTGGGCTACGGCGACGGATCGTTCGGCGATTTCGAGGATCTCACGCCCAAGGCCAAGCGCAAGCGCGGACCCAATGTCAGGGCTTTAGGGCTAGATGACCTCACCTTGATCGGTTAGTTGATTTTCCTCCCTTAGAAGTTTTTTTTTTGTTGTTGAATTTTATGTAGGTTTACTGGAACTCTTAACCTTTAATTAGTTACTCGAATTTAAGTGAATTTGTTAAAATTATTTCTGCTGTTTCAAGATGGAGAACTTTTCTCGTGAAATGAATTAATTGCCAGAATGAACAAGTACATGCTACTATTTAGTCAGTGGTAGTCAATCGTGGTCTTATAAGGGATTTAAATTTCTACCCTATGAGAACTAGATTTTAGGTATGAGATCTCATGTGTCCCTTGCAAAATGGTTTCCGAGCCAGATCCATTTTCCCAGTAGCAATAGTGTGGCGTGGGTGGTGGTGTCGGTATTACAGCGATTGCATGGGGATAGTCTACTGCAAAGTCAAAGTGATGATGCGGGGATTGTAGTGTTTGACCTAGACTAGACTGGTGCACTGCGAAAGTATGATGGTATCTTAGGGCCATTTAGTCACACAGAGAGTAAATGGAAAGTTGATCGTGAGTTTATAAGGGATTTGGGTTCCAGGCCTTGTAATAATTAGCTTTTAGGGGTGAGTTCTCCCAAGCCCTTTACAAATTGAAGTGAATTGGTTAATATTTCTGCTGAATTGATGTGTGATTTCTGCTGTTTCAAGCTGGTTTTGTTTCTCTTGTTTAATATACCTAGAATGAACTGGTTGCTAGAGAATCTGCTAGAGAATCTAAGATAAAATTGAATTGTGCCAGTGAAATGAATTAGTTGCTAGAATGAACAGGTGTAGGCTTCTATCTATACTTCTTTTTTTCTCCTTTCGCCCCCTTGTTGTTGTACTTGATGCTTCTTAAGTAGCCAACAAGTTGAGAGCAGCTGTTGCGAAGCTCACCTTTAGGCTCAACTGCCCTGAAACTTAGCTTTTCTGCAGCTTGACTTTCTTTTGCTGGTTTATGACTCTAAGCAGCTTGTCATGGGAAAGAGAGGAACTGCACTTTTCTTTTTTCCCCCATTTTATTCTTTTATGTTTCATTCCTTCATGTGAAACCAATCACAGTTGTTAACACCATCTATTCAGTCTTTTGAGGTCTTAGGTCTCACAGGCTCATGTATATTTAAATATTCACAACACTTTTTTTTGAACAGATATTGTCAAATCGAATGGTAGGTTGATTCCGCATGTGGTCAAGCGATTAGTTGAGAAGTATGAATCAGATGCGAAATCTGTACTCGCTGAGATTCTAATGATGCTATTTGAGGTAGATTTGTCATCCTGTATGTTCACGTAACGTATTATTCTTATGATTCCAATTAATACTGATGCAACTTGACAGGCTTGCGGAGCAAAGTATCAACTTGATGTTGCTTCTCTTGACGAGACAGATGTCGATGATGTGGTTGTGTGTTTAGTGGATTTAGCTAGAAATGTATCCTTCATGCTATGTTTATTGATTTTACCAACTTTGTTTACAATGTATATTTCTAATATCTGCCCAATTCTTGTTCAGACTTAACTATTTTGTTAATTAGGGTGAAGTGGAGGACAATTACAACTCAAAGCACAAGGACCTTAAAAACTTCAAGGAAAACCTTGCTTTATTCTGGGATTGTCTGGTTCTAGAGTGTCAGAATGGACCTCTGTTTGATAAAGTTCTTTTTGAGAAATGCATGGATTATGTTATTGCATTGTCATGGTAAGTTTTAATCACTAGCCTCCTGCACATGTGCACACAGAGGCGTGGACAGTTGATTGTCATGAAATTGGCTGATGTGATATTAACAAATCTTTCATACAAGTTGTATACTCTGGGCCCCATAGTTGATCGTAGCTGGCATTCCTCCATAGTAATTTTTTGGTGTTGCACTGTTCATATACTTTTACATTAATAGCTTTTAATCATCATTATCAACATAGTCGAGCTCTTCACCATGAAATTCGTTGGCTATGGTGCACTCTCGGAGTTGGAAAGCTCCAGGAAAAAAAAAACTTACTGAGTTTTTATGGTTGCCTTTCCACCCTTCATTAAACCTCTATAACTTTGTGCAATTTCCTAGATGAGTTAATTATGAGACCAAACAAATTTAGTTATGAAAAAATGATTCCCGTGAAGGTCAATTAGCTATGTGCTTTCCACTTGCCAGAACTACCTTTCTGCTCATATAGCTTAAGTTCAAACTGAGAAATCACCCTCTAAATTCTCCTGAATATGATAAAAACTAGTGAATGGAGCAAAGATGATAATGTTCTCTGTAAGCATTAGATCTTTTTCAAAGCACAATATAAACTAAAGAGCGCAATCTAATTATGACCTATTTTCTATGTTAAGGTTTATTTTGTTCTCTCAAATATTCACTTTTTTACTGATATGCTGACAGTTTCTGTCGAATCATAGTTAACTTCTTATTCTAAATGTCCTTCAGCACCCCTCCACGGATATATCGTCAGGTGGCCTCCCTGGTGGGTCTACAACTTGTAACATCCTTTATTACTGTTGCTAAAATGCTTGGTGGCCAACGGGAAACTACTCAAAGGCAGTTAAATGCTGAAATGAAGAAGAACAGTGACGGGCCTCGTGTGGAATCATTGACCAAAAGGTTATCTTTGACACATGAAACGATTACCGTCACTGAGGAGATGATGCGTAAAATATTTACAGGGTAAGCATTGTTTTCTTCAGAAACTTCTTACTGCTTGTATATTTGTTTTCTCGCCTTGACTTTTCCTTTTCAATTAAAATATTGATATTGTTTTCCTGCAGACTGTTCATGCACAGGTATCGAGATGTTGATCCTGACATCAGAATGTCATGCATCAGATCTCTTGGTATCTGGATTTTATCATACCCCTCACTATTCTTGCAGGATTTATACCTAAAATATCTTGGTTGGACATTAAATGATAAAGTAAGTTAAGCAAGTCTAAACTTTTGATTTGTGTTTTCATTAATCTTTTACTTCAGTTCATTCACCTTGAGTTAAGAGGTTTGTAATTGCATTTGAAGAGTGCAGCAGTTAGAAAGACTTCTGTCCTTGCCTTGCAAAATCTTTATGACGTGGATGATAATGTGCCGTTGCTTGGGCTTTTCACTGAAAGGTTTTGCAACAGAATGATTGAACTTGCTGATGATATTGATAATTCGGTTGCTGTGACGGCCATAGGACTTCTAAAACAATTATTGCGGTAATGTTGCTTCCTTGTATAAGCTTGAATTATGGTTTTAGTGTTAGATGTGCATTTATATCATCTTATCTTCTCCTTATGTTTTTGCAGACATCAGCTACTCACTGATGATGAATTAGGACCTTTGTACGATTTGCTTATTGATGAGCCACCCATGATTAGGCGTGCAATTGGTGAACTTGTATATGACCACTTGATTGCTCAAAATATTAAAAGTTCCCAGTCAGGAAATAAAGGTATATTCCTGTTCACTAATGTAATTTACACACTACTTGTTTTGATGTACTCACTAGTGCATTTGTCTTTCCAGGTGGAGATACTGAATCTTCAGAGGTTCATTTGGGAAGATTGCTACAAATACTACGAGAATTTCCTGATGATCCAATATTAAGTGGTTATGTTATTGATGATGTTTGGGATGATATGAAGGCCATGAAAGTATAGTTTTCACTAAACAAGGACCTTATCTTTTTCTTGAGAACTTTTAATTAACGAAGCAACCTATTGTCTGAAAACAAAATAGACTATTTCAGGCTTTCAGCTTTCATCTTATAAAATAAATTTCCTAAACCACCATTCTTTCAACCAAGATTTTTTTTCACTGAACTAGAAGATGTGAATTTTTTGTTCTTACTATAATGGATCTGTATACATAAGCTGGCCCTGCGTTCTACAGGATTGGAAGTGTATTATCTCAATACTTCTTGATGAAAATCCATTGATTGAACTTACTGATGTGGATGCAACCAACCTTGTCCGTCTGCTTCGTGCGTCTGCCAAGAAGGCTGTTGGTGAGAAGATTGTTCCTATAACAGACAATAGAAAGCCCTACTATACAAAAGCTCAAAAGGTACTGAATTTTTGTGCCCTACTATACCGATGCTCAGAAGGTACTGATTTTATGTTTCGTGATAATTTAGTTAGCATGATTCATGTAACCATATGGTTTCATATGGTTATCCAGTGTACAAATGAGCCATCAATTGGACTCTAATTTAATGCTCACAGTGCGGTGAGCTTGAACTCTGGTCTTGGTGCTTATATATGTAGTACACTGGTTAATGCACATTTAAAACATTAAAATGCCTTTCAAGTTTGAGGTTTGCTTCTTGAGAGATATTTGTGGCTAAATGATAATTGTGACTTCATAATATTTCAATTACCCCAATTGTTCTGCCCGTAAGAAAAAAATAGAGAGAAAGTTAGACATTGTTTTGCTTGTCTTGCAAAATTCTTAGGCAAGAACCAGAAGAAAGAGATGGCAGGAGAATGAGGATGAAAGTGCGTCAATTAGGTGTTACTTTATCCTAGGAAAAAGACAAGCATTTGATTGAATAAAAAAACTATCTTGCTGAGCTAGGTTATGCACTATTTGTTAAAAAATCTTGTCTTCTAAACATAAAAAATTGAAGCATGAGAAAGTTAGATTGATGCATGTGTATTGTTTAAATGGATTACATGCAATATATCTTGAAGAACGTCAAAAAGCATAACTAGATTTTGTTCAAACATGAAATTATGATAGGAAGTTTTAAGTTTATTTGGTAACAAACTATAAATGAAATGAACGAACTTATAAAAAAAGTGACTTTTTCTTTTATAATGGATCATCAAAAATGCAGACAGAAATCTGAAGAAAGAAAAAAAGAATAATTTATAAATTTACTTTCATAACTTGGTAAATTTAGAAAAACTATAACCATTGAGGACACAGTTTGCCATTTCATCTTCTCTGAGAAAAGAATCACCTTGATCCTTTAAATGCGATCACAAAAATAGCCACATAGTTACCTTTAATTAAATTCAAAAATATAAAAATTGCATAACTGCAACTTCTAGCCAACTTATAAAATATGGTTGCTTCTAAAGTATCCTATCAACTAAAGCATGCTGTGAATCTTATCAAATAAAGCATATTGTAGACATAACCCTACATTAAGTAATGAAACAATTACTTAGTACACTGGGTTAGTTAACCTCTCCTTGTTAAACCCAAAACATCATTGACATATAGAAGCAAAGAAATGAAGTGAAAGTGTGAGGACTCTATATCAAATAGATCAATCAAAATAGAACCCAGAAATACAAGAAAAATATGCAAACAAACTATGCATTTAAATCTTGTTGCAGGTTTCTTAAGAACCACGGAGAAGTATAGATAAATAGATGTAAACAGAGAGATATGAGGTTAAAATTTTGAAATTGATGAGATTTTTGTATAAGAATATCTGAATATTTTATCTCAAAGCAGTTACTATCTATGAAGCACCGACACTTGAAGAAAAGGCCCCGAGTCCGTCTCTTCCGTGTATCTGAAGCGGACACGCGTGCGACACGCGTCTGACACACGGTCAATGTCGCCGACACGGTCAACGTCACTGACTCGCTCCCGACACGCTGTTTTGTTCTCGACACGGCTGAGAGGGCAAAAAAAAGAGAATTGACTCGAAACCCGAAACCCAAAGACAAAGCCAAAACCAAACCTTAATCCTAGTTTTCACTTTTCACTCACCCGATCGGCTCATCTCTCTCTTTCGATCCCGACTGAAAAGGAAATGTCGCGATCTCTCTCTCGATCGTCCTCGTCGGCCTCGATCATCATCGTCGTCCTCGTCGTCCTCTCAGCAAATCGTCCTCGTCGTCATCCTCGTCGGCTAGGTCAGTCTCTCTCTCTCATTCTTCGTCTCTCTCTCTCCCTCCCTCGATCTCTCGATCTCTCTCTGATCTCTCTCTCAGTCTTTCTCTCCTCTCTCTCTCTCTCTCTCTTTCTCTCTCTCAGTCTCTATCTGGATCTCTCTCTCTCCCCGATCTCTTCCCTCTCCGATCTCTGGATCTCTCTCTCTCAGTCTCTCTCTGGATCTCTCTCTCTCAGTCTCTCTAGATCTCTCTCTCTCTCCCCGATCACTTTCCTCTCTGATCTCTCGATCTCTCTCTCTCCATGATCACTTCCCTCTCTGATCTCTCGATCTCTCTCTGGATCTCTCTCTCTCCCCGATCTCTTCCTCTCTCTCAGTTGCGTTTCTCTTTTATTGGATCTCTTCCTCTCTCTCAGTTGCTTTTCTCTCTTTCTGTTTTTACTGTTTTTTATTTTAATTTATCTAGTCAATGAACTTGGTTATATTTAACCTGCAATATTTAAAACTTTTGGCATTTGAAATGTTTAAAAGTTGTGCCATTATCCTTACAAATGGAAGCAATATGTATAAAAATGTGAGAATAACATAAAAATGAGAACTAGAATTTACTTTTCCGTTATTCATACTATTTCCTGTCATTGTTTTACTTTACTGTTAATTATGATTTTTGCAATGTTAGTAACTTAGTATTTTGTAGTCATGGAACTGGTTGCAACTTGAATTTTATTCTCTTGTATTTATATGCTCAAGATGAAAGTAGTGAAAATTAAAATTTGGTATTATCTTCAAATCAGTTACATAACTTATATTTGTCATTGATTATACAAGCCAATGTTACATAATAATACAACACAAAAATTGATCTATTTTTCTATATGTTCATCTTTTCTTTCTTGTCTTCTTTAACATTATTATCTTCAATTCTCTAAGAGATCATTGTCATCCCGACGTCTTAATTCACACCTGCAACACACACTTTCCTTTAGTTTCTTATTTTTGTCATCCCGACGTCTTAATTCACACCTGCAACACACACTTTCCTTTAGTTTCTTATTTATAATCTCCATTTTACATAACAAAAAATATTTCACACCTGCAACACACACTTTCCTTTAGTTTCTTATTTATAATCTCCATTTTACATAACAAAAAATATAAAAATATAATAGGAATTTAATTCAATATTGATCTATATATAATAATAATATTAAAAAAAATTAGCTGTGTCGTCGTGTCCTATTTTTTGGGGTTTGCCATGTCCGTGTCCGTGTCATTTTCGTGTCGTCGTGTCCGTGCTTCATAGGTTACTATGATATAAGAATTTTGATTAAGATTTATGATACGAGTTGCCGTGCGAGCACACTTTGATCGCGAAATTACCAAAATGTCGGTTGAGAAGAAGACAACTAAAACACAAGAACAATTCAGGTTTTGGGCGAAGGAAAATACATTCTCTAGATTATGAAGAACAAAAGATTACAATCACTCCCTCACAATCTCACTAGAATCAAGAACAACCTCTCAATCCTCTCTAAACCCTAATACAATGATTATAATTTCTCTCTGATCTAAGATCTCATAGATCCTCACAATCTAAACCCTAATCCTTTTGATTAGGATCTCACTTAGACCTAAAACCCTTTACATCTACATCTTGGCCTCTCCTCCTTTCTTCTGATTCTAAGATCCTAAGATGATGTTTAGAAACCCTAAACAACCCTTTATATAGGTGTATGAACGTGGATGACAATCTGGTAAATAAACAGATCAAACCCCAACAGAAATTCGTGCAAACAGAAACCCAAACGAACCAGGAAACCTCCGATGAGTCGACTCATGAACAGTTATGAGTCGACTCATGACCACGCATATGAGTCGACTCATAACTGATGAGTCGACTGGTCAGAGACTTTTGACAAAACGGCTGGGTTTCGTGAGTCGACTCATGACAGGCATGAGTCGACTCAACCTGATGAGTCGACTCATGTACATGTATGAGTTGACTCACGAGCTGAAAACTGGATTCTTCAAATCTGCTGCTCGTCGTCTCGTTTCACGCTTCCACATGCGTTCCACTGTACTGATTGATACCTCTATTCTCATGCTATCATGAGAATCATCTATCCTCAAGCTCCCATGAGGATCGCTAAGTTCCGAAGAGAAGATACACCCGTATCATGCTTTGATTCTTCGTTCTTCCGACTCGCTTCACGCTCCATCCTGTGCTCCGTCGTATCGCTTCACACCACTATTCTCAAGATATCATGAGAATCACCTATCCTCAAGCTCCCATGAGGATCACTAAGCTCCCGAAGTAGAGAAGAAGATACACACGTATCAATTTATGTTATGAGATCCAAGGGTTTGAAATCTTAGAACTGTATTGGACAAGATCTTAGATTTTTTAAAAAAGAGGGAGGATTGAAAGTTCAAAATTGATTCAGAATTTTTTTAGTGTTGAAATGCCCTACTAGGATAAAATGAGGAAAATAGTAGTATGAGCTAATACTGCTACATGTTGCGGATTAGTAGGGAGTAGACGATAATATTTGGCGTCCATATTCAGTGGTTCTCTTAACTACATAATTCTTTTGCAAGTGTTAACATCATGTTAGTTATCCATATATGGATACAAAGTCTGCCTTCCTGACATGATAGAGCATATTAGTCTATTAGAGCATGTGAGAGAAAGGGAGTGATAGACTAATGTAGTTCCATTAATCGTATAAAAGTAGGGAGGGGAGAGGGAACAGGCATTAAGTTGTTATGTGAAGTTCACCGAGGAAGGGCAGGCATCATGTTGAATAGATATGAATGTAATAATGCTGTTACATGAGTGCATGTAGGGAGGGATGTGGCAACGGAGGTTCTTTGTAAAGACATATTAGTGTTTCTGACTCTCATTAGTTCTTCTGCTGGTTGTTACATGTACGGCATGACATTTTTGAATGTGACCTATTTTAATTATTTTTTTGACCATCTCATAAAAGTAAACTTCTCCCGTAGTCTTTCTCAATTTACAAATATTTATTTTCAGCAATTTAATTTTCTTTTCTTTAAAGTTAGACTTTTTTCAATTGTAGTCCTTAGCCACCTACAAAGTTGCAAATCTTCGTACAGAGCAATTAATATCAATTATTGCTATGAGATTTAGTTTCTTCTAGGGTATACTACTGACAATGTTATTATGCAGGAAGCACTTGAAAATAGTAGAAGGGAAATAACTACTGTCATGATGAAAAGGTACCCACAGCTTTTGCGGAAATATATAGCAGACAAAGCAAAAGTCTCGTCGCTGGTTGAGCTTGTTTTGCTTTTGAAACTTGAGCTTTTTTCTTTGAAGAGGCAGGAGGAGGTAGGTTGTTTAACTTTCTGCGTGTGCATGATCTCAAATCTCAGTATTGTTCAATTAACATGACTAGCTGATTACCATTTCAGAATTTCAAGTCCATCCTGGAACTTATAAATGATGCTTTCTTCAAACACGGTGAGAAAGATACACTGAGATCTTGTATTGCTGCTCTGAGTTTTTGTTCCATTGAAAGCCAAGCCGACCTTCAAGATTATGCACAAAACAAGCTGAAGGACCTTGAGAATGAGTTGGTAATCAAGCTAAAATTAGCTATGAAAGAAGTAGCGGTATGTAGCTTTCTTCTGCTATGTGCTTTTGGTTTATCAATTAATGGATGATGACACCTTATAGGTTACAGGTGGGTGATGATGAATATTCCCTTTTGGTTAATTTGAAGCGGCTGTATGAGCTTCAACTGAAAAAAAGTGTTTCAAATGATGGTTTATTTGAAGATATGGCTAGCATCCTTAAGGATATGAAGGACTTAGACAGTGAGGCATGTGATAACTAATCATTCAAATTGTCAGGGATGCACAAGTGTTCTCATTTATACTTACTGCAATGCTATTCATCTTTCAGGTAGTAGCCTTTCTTCTTCTCAACATGTACCTGCATGTAGCCTGGTGTCTGGAGTCTGTCAGTGGTGAAAATCCATCAGAATCTTCTGTAACATCACTGTTATCCAAGAGAGTTACCCTCTTTGAACAGTTAGAATACTTTGCTGACACCTTGTCTAAAATCCAAAAGAAAGGAAGAAGTGAAAGCGTGCTTTCATACAGAGTAAGTCCTTCAACAATAATTGTTCAATAAACTAGTTCAATTTTTTCTCTCCTATTTTAGATGGACTGTTATGGATTTAGAATCTATTGAAAATGTGTTGAAAAGTTGATCTCATGGTGGTAAATCATCTTATAGGTATGCGGCATACTTTCTGAGGCTTGGTGCTTGTTCAAAAAGTCAAATTATGTGTCCACAAAGCTCGAATGTTTAGGATATTGCCCAGATTTATCTACTCTACAAAAGTTTTGGAAGCTATGTGAACAACTGATTAATGTTTCAGGTTTTCTGCAATTCATTAACAATTCTATGTTGTCAAGATATTACTGAACCTGTGCTGGGCTCGATATCTGAAGTTTAAAGCCAATCATTATTTTTCATCATATGTAATAAGCATTGACTTGGTCTGATGCTTGCACTTGCAGATGAAACGGAAGAAGAAGATGCAAATGAGGAATATATTGAAGAGATCAATAGGGATGCAGTTATTATTGCTGCTGCAAAGTTGGTTGCTAGCAATACTGTACCAAAGGTAATACTTCTAAGGTCTAACCAATCCAGCAGCATAAGAGAGGATACCGCCATGCTACAGTTTATTTCAAACATTTTGATCTTCATAACACTTTGATGCTAATTTATTTAGTACCAACGTAGAGAAGTGGCCTCTGTCTGTACATTAAGCAGAGAGGAGAGGAGAAATAAGTCCTGCTTCTCTCAGATTATCTAAACTCGTTATAGATTCTTTCGAGAACATCACTCCTACTTTGCTAAATTCATCATGTTTCATCTTGATTTTTCTTATCTGAAAAATTGCATATACAACTACTTGCACCCTCCTTCACTCCCTCAAAAAAGTCGCTGAAGAGGCTTATTTAAGTGATCCTCATGATTATTCGTGGTGCTCAAATCATTTCACATATTCCTCCTAAATGGCTTTTTACTTGTTGTTGATTGTCGTCCCTGTTTTACATATTTATTCTATTTTCTGTTTTGTCTTTTTCCATTATTCCCCCCATTTCTCTGATCTCACATTCTCTATCATTTTCAGGTTAAGACTATGCTAAAGTGCAATTTGTTACTGACTGACTTCTTGAATATCTCTTAATTCTTACTTGCCTTGTGACATTCTTTCTTCCCCCCCGCATATTACTAGATGCTATTTTAAAACACGGAAACTCAGTTAAGGATGATGGTAATATGAATGTGTAGGATTTAGATATTATTTTCTGACAATGTTTCTTGAATGGAAAATATGCTTCTGACAAGTATAACCTATCCTGATGAGATCAAGTAAAAAGAGTATCCAATATGTTATTCACCATTTTGTAACTTCATATGACAGGCTTATGTTATTGCAGGATTATCTGGGTCCAGAGATCATTTCACATTATGTGATGCATGGAGCTAGCATTGCAGAGATTATCAAAAAGCTGATTACAGATATAAAGAAATCTGCAAGTGATGAGATCTATATACTATTTTTGGAGGCCCTCAAAAGGGTATGCTTCTCTTACTTTGTTTACTTCACAACTAAAAGATGTACTTGAATTTTTAAGAATGTCAAGGAGATGGGACTAGATAGCAGACATACTGAAATGTAGAGGCTTCTAGCAAAATGACTAACCGGACTGATTTTGACAATGTTGTTCAATATTCCTCTTTGGGTTTTGTTATGCCTCAGAGACAAATGCAATTTCTGTTCAAGAACATACTATTTTACCTTTTTGGATATTCTTCCCTATCTAAGGAGTGTTTGGAGAATCATGATTCAAAGACCTAAACTTCTGTCTTGAAGAGGTAGGCCTATCTACCTGCTAACTGTCCTTCAATGTTTAATTTTTATGGAAAGACCTTCATTCCCATATTTGCTCAGCCAAAATGGGCATGAACATATATATAGATGACAGGCACTAGGTTGATAGGCAGTTATAGAAACTTCATCATTTCAGCTTTCATATTGTCTTTGGTGTCTGGGAAGGTAACCCCGCAACTTTTTTTTTGGCATAGAGGTTTGAAGTGGAATCACTTACAATATTTATTGGCAAAATCTCCACACCCCTTTCTGTCGAACACTATCTGTCATGAACTTTTGTTAGTATTATACTAAGAATATATAGATGCTTGCACGTTCATTATTGAATTGTTAGTTAACTCTATCTCTGTTGTTCTAGAAAAAGTGTGTATATCATTTTGTCTAGCTCGTCTCCTAGAATTGTCTGGTTATATATTCTTGAGAATTTGGGAAGATTGGTACAGGATAGGCCATCTCATTGAAAAAAAGAAATGAGTGAATCCACTTAATTCTTCCCATTTTGCTAAACACTAATTTTTTTTAAGAACACCTACTCCAAACGGTTATAAAATGCATAAAATCAGCTTAATCTGAGTTAAGCTCTTAAGCACCCTTTATAAATCCGAATTTGGCAAAGAGCGCCTAATAGTGTTTGGTTTATAGGGTTGGATATTCACTTATCTCTACGTGGTTATTAGAGATTCCTTATTTTTAATTTTTTTAGGGGATCTCCTTGAGATTCTTATATTTGAAAAATGATGTGGAGATGTATCAATGAACTTTAAGTAGATTTTGTCAAACACACAAGCCGCTCATGAACAGTTCATGGTTGGCTCAATATGTAGTTGGGTTTTAGCTTTTTGATTTAATAATCAAACTCGAGGTGGGTCTACTTGCTCATATTCAGCTTGAATAGTCTCGTATATGCTTATGTTTAGAAATATATAATGGTGTATGTTAGAATGATTAGTCGTTTGTTGTGTTGATTGATACGCTCATCTCTGTCAATGGATCTTTATCAAATATGTTGATATAATCTAGCTATACGCTCTCTAGCTATTAGATTCCTAGTATTCTCCAAGTTCTTGCATCATCACTGATGAAATTATGAACTAGAAGAAACTTTTACATTTTCAAGCTAAATATCAAGCCAAAATCAATATTGAGCTAAATCAACTTTACATTAGTAGGCTTAGTAATGGACTCAATTATTGGCTTGTTTATAATTTTTCTTGCAAGTGGAGCCCGAATGGTCGAAATCCACCTAGGTGAACCTGAGCTAGTCCATATGAACGAGTCGCTCTAGCCTTACTGAATTTCAAGCCAAACTCAATCTGGCTGGCTAGCTGAGTCTTGTATCATTTACACCCCTAACCCTCAGGAAAATTTACCTAAGATGCTTATGTTTCATATAAGTTGCATGGACATGGGTCCGGGTGTGTGTACGGGACTCGGCAAATTTGTAAAAGGTAGGGTATGGCTACAGGGCTGAATCTCATGGGGATATAATCATAGTTTTGAGCTATATATGTCATTAACCCTTTAAGTCGTAGCTCTGAAACGAACTCGATCCTTATCTAACAAGTTACAAAATTTGATGTGTGGGATATATATCGAAGTATATGACGAGTGCTTTAAATTAAACATATAATGTATAATAGAGTACATGTCTGAGTACATATATGCATATATTTAAGGAGTATCCAAGAAGTGTTAGGTACGGTACAACATGTGTTGGGTACGGGTACAACATATGTTGGGTACAGGTACAATACATGTCGTGTGCGGGTACGGCTCCATATTAGAAGTACTTAGGTAATATAGTGTTTCATACTTTGTCAGTGTTGATATTTCATGAACTACTCAATCGAATTATTTTTTAGTGAACAATCTTCGATACTCTTGCAAAGTTTCTTTGTAATCTGTATAAGTTCAACTAAATTGAAGCTGACCATTTCACTTTTAGAAATTACGAAGCATAGCAAAGAATCTCAATTTGTAGGCCTACTGAGTACCTGTTTGGCATATAATAATGACGATAGCAAGTTTGTAGAGGTGCATGTGCATTTTCATATACTCAGCCAAACCATGCTCATCTATACATACAAAAATTATTAATTACGCACCTGCTTCGTTATGTTTATCGTACACAGTGTGCATATAAATATTATTAAATACAGAGTAGAATCTTATGTGGAGATACTAACCTTATTAGATAATAACTAATGCTTAATGGATATTTTTACTATTTATCCAACTTATCATATGCTAGATTATGCTTCACATGAGCTTTCAGTCTAAAAAAGATATGATAAATAACTGATTCCTCATGATTTAATCATTTTTTAATTGAGTTAGGCCTACAATCGTTATATGGTGGATCTCTCTGGTTTTGGTGATGAATCCTTGGCAAGCAAGTCATTTTCGGAATGCAAAGATTTGGCAGCTCGACTCTCTGGAACATTTGTTGGTGCAGCTCGCAACATTCACAGATCAGGCATTTTAAAAATTGCCAAGGATGGAATTTCATTTGCTTTTATTGATGCCCCAAAGCAGCTGTCTTTTCTTGAAGGAGCTGTTCTTCCATTTGTATCAAAACTACCAGGATCAGATGTTTTAGACATGTAAGTTTATTAATTTAATGCTGGTTATTTTTGGTGAAATTATGATGGCATGTTTTAATCTCTGATTTCCTTTTTGCACACTTAACTATTTCATAGTTTGGAAGAAGTCAAGAGAAGATCAGAAAATGTGAACACAGATGAAGACCCTAGTGGCTGGCGTCCATACTATACATTTGTCAACCAATTACGTGAGAAATATGCAAAGAACGAAGTCCTGCCAGGTATATTTTTCTCCCAAAAAAAAAGTAGCTTATTTACCTTCTGCAATGCTATAGACCTGTAAAGAGGTTTTGCTGGTCTTGCCAGTTACACAGTTTTTATATAGCTATTTCATTTGTTAGCTTCATAGATTGCTCATGTAAATCCAATGGCTTCCACATTACAATAAAACCTGTACTGCTTCCATATGATCAAATATTATAAAGGTCTTTAACCCCCTTTACAGCACTTTGCAAATAGATTTGAAAATGGCTTTACCATACAATTTCTTTTCAGTTAGAGTGAACATCTTCCACAAAATATTTGTTACAGTTGAGAAGCTGATTTTGTGTCTCAATTTGACGACAAGGTCTCAAGGTGTCCTCCCAATATGTTAAAAAGGGGACAAATGAAATGAAAAAAACAGCATACAAACTTAAACTAGTTGATTAGTGAACCAAAGAGAAACCAGCGAATTTCCTTTTCCAGTTCTTGTTGTTATGTCATGCGGTCTTCTTTAGACTTAGTTTTCTCAGAACTATCACAGATTCACAGGCAAACTCAAATTTGTGTATTTAGGAACATGATGAGACGAATATGTTTGATGTTATTTAGTACTAAGTTTTTATTTTCGCCGCCGTATTTATAGTTGAGAGATTAATTAGTGTGATCTATTTTCCTTATTAAAAAAATGATTAGCATATCAATCTAGTTATTCACTGTACATCTATTAATGCTGTAATGAAGTCAATAACAATATCAATATGGAAGCCTACATATTCTGGGAGGAGTCCTATACTAGACAGTATGATTCGTTTGAAATTGCTGTCTGCTCCACGTCTTCTGTATAGTTTCTTTGAAAAGGAACTGATGCTTGTTTCAAAATTTCACGAGCGATGGAAGTTAGCTACTAACAGTGTATTAAATGTTCTTTTCCCCTTCCAAATATGGGTTTTTCTTAATGAAAATGGTTCACAACTGGTCTGAAATCAATCCCGTACAATCTTTTGTAGTACTCACATCTATCGGCTTAATTTTTTCTTTCAAGTGGCTAGCTAATGCCAGGAGTTTATTTCAGAGGAGAAAGAAGGCAACATTGTAAGACGAAGAGGCCGTCCAAGAAAGACGACTAATTTACCAGGTAAAAAACTGTTTGAAGCACAAAGTTCCAGTGACGAAGATTCTATCAATGCATCAGAGCAGATTGAACAGGAAGAGAATGATGATGAAGAGAACCAGCCACTTATTCACTCATTTAGGTCATCTGCTGCAAAGCTAAGATCATTGAGAGTGCCGCAACAGGAAAATGTCCAAGTGGGAACTTCAAGAAGCGCGGGTATGTCTTATATGAGGCCATGATCTTTCATTCCCTGGACCCTAGTTCTAAAACCTGACAGCCAAAACATTAATTCACTTGTTGAAATTTTACCTATTTGAACCTGAACATGTTTTATCATCTGATGAGCTACATTCCAGATGATATAAGTATATTAAGTATTTTATGCCCTTAGTTAGCAGTAATGGAACTGTTCAATCAATTTCCGAGCTTGCAAAAGCTCCTCAACACACTGGTTGCTTTGAGCTTTCCCATTCACAATTTATTGTCCACCAATCATGTTTATCATCTAATCTTCCATAGTCATATGTTGGAGTAATTGAATATGTAATTTTACTGGCATCAATTATCGATTTATACATCAATCTTGCATCACCTTTGTGTAACCTTTCTCATAGACATGAATTGGTGATTAAGTAGATGGGATACAAGGGTGCTCATATCTGTATTTATTTCAGCTTACCTGACAAAAACGTCATTGTTATTTAGATTTCATTTCATAGAGATCCAACTGGATATTTGCTGGATGTGGTTATTAAAGCAGAACACTTCCTCTATTTTAGATAGAATTGATGGAAGAATAAGATTATGGAGCTGAACTCAACAATTTTGGACAGAGGCTTTAATGTAGTAGTTGTTTTTGTCACAGACATGAATAGAGAGTTATTATTGGAGATATAATTGGACATACATATTAGTTAAAAGCGGATATGAGTGTGGACTGTGCTCTGATGGATTCAGCTGTTACCTTAATCCCTTTTGCATTTGAAAGAGAAATGAACACTTAATGTAAATTTCATTAGAATTTATTTTATTTTATATTTTTATATCAGAACATTAGGATGGGTATCCCGATATTTTTGCCTGTATCATACTTCAAGTTAATGGTGAATGTCGATCTTGACATTTTTCAAAATACGAAAGTAGAGTTGGTTTTGTATATTTTGCCCGTCCTTCGTGCTTTTCGTTACAAGACCAACTGCACTATAATCTAACATTCTTGTAACTCTTGTTGCTTAGCTCTGTCCTCTGTCTTGTATGGAATTCAATTACTTCTAGTTTGTGGTTCAAATTTGAATATCTCATACCAGCAGCTTTCTATATGCAGGGATCAATGCCAAAACAGGGACTGCTGACAGAGAATGATTGTGGTGTACCATCCTCTGAGAGGAAGATTATAGTTATGTTTGTATAACGTGCTTCGTGTGTATCAGTCTCAATGTAATTAATGATTATCGAAGTTCAGTTTTTGTTGTTTCTCTTAATTTGTTTATGATCTATTATCTGGTTGTTATATATTGCGATATGCAGATGACTTACAAATTTGGTCGGTCAATACTTTATGAACTTCTCAGCGTTTTTGTTTTGGTTGAGAATAAGTTTTGCTAAACTAGAGTTGATACTGAGAGAGAATGTTTCCATATCGATCTAATTACACGAAGTAGGCCGTTTCTCATAAGCCCAGGCATCGTATAATTTCATAAGGTCCATAGTTATCAGAATTTAAAAATAAAATATGGTAAAATAACTTAACATGCATATTCATTTTCAGAAGACTAAAGTAAATATACATTATGGATAAGAAAACATTGTCGTTGGCCAGGGTTTCAAAATATTGTTATTAATCTCGCGGCTGTGAGCTTGTTAAGTGTTAAAAGTTGCAGGTGTTTGAAGTATTCCCGAACTTAAAAAAAAAGCTATCTTACAAAAAAAATGCTATGTTAAACATTGGGTTATAATCTATTTTACACAAGTGAAAATGTTACACCAAAGCACCCGCCCCCTCCCCCCGCACCCACACACCCACAACTATGCTTAGCAAAAAAAGCTCAAAAGAATACGTGAAACACGCACCCAAAAAAAATAAAAAAAAGGAGGCAAAGAAGTGAAGAACGAAGTAAAATAAAATTAGTCTTATTAGGCTGGAGAAAAAAATGGAGAAAACAAAGTGACAATTTCAGACGGCCAAGTCTTATTTAAGGAAATAGCTTTAACTATCTTGCTCCTCGCACACATTTGCACTCTCCCTCCTCCTAAAAAGTTTCGAATTCGCAGCGCCAGCCAAAAACGTGAACTGCTCTCATTTCCAAAATGGAGGCGATGGGCGAAGGAGGAGGAGAAAGAGGCGAGTTAGGGTTAGGGTTTACAGAGATCGAGACTAACGCCGAGGGTCTGAAGCCATCCGAGATCTTCCACATCGTCAAGGAGCTGATCGGATTCGTCCTCTACATGCACCATCAGATCCCTTCGTATGGAAACCCTAATCTCTCTCCGAATTTTTTTTTTTAATTTATGAAAGATTAATGTTTAGGAAGTAATAAAAGTTGAATTATTTGAGGAAATTTGAAGAGTAGCGCAGTGTTTTGAAGAAAGAGGGTTCCTTTTTTCCCATTTGGAACAGTTTATGTTATTTGTTATTGTATGATCTTTTATAATCACTTACGCTTTTGATTAGTTTTGTATCTATATGTAAATATTTGCTGATTAGTAAAAGAGAATGGGAAATCCTACTTAAATTTCCTGAAATGTAATTAAAATACAATAAGCATAGGCCTATTTGACCGTTTTAATGATTTTCTGATACTTTGTGGTGATTAAAATTCCATTTTTTTCACACTATATTAAGGACATTATCACATGTAGATATACTGAGAACAGATGGCTTTGATATGTCGAATATCTTTATTAATAGATGAAAGCTGAACTTTTGTTCTCAGTTTATACTAGTTCAGGTTAAAGTGGGAATTCTTGACGGTTGATGCACTCAGAATTTTACATTTATCGTTGTTTAGCATTCATTTAAAAATTGTTGCATCTGAAGATATCTGTTGAAGTAGCTTTTGGATATCTCATAACGAATTTTTTCCCCTGAGACGTATCGTAGAAGCTCAAAATTTTTAATTACTTAGATTGAATTCTCTATTGATTTTTACTATTCTGTTTTATGATTATAATGTGACACTTGAGTAGCTTTTAATGTCTTGGTGAATGTTATGATAGTTAGGCCATCCTGTATTTAATCATACAACCTACATGTTATATACTCTACCCCTATAGTACTATCAGTAATTATACGCGTATACTAGTAGTAGGGTACTATAGAGAGAGAGAGAGAGAGAGAGAAGAGAGAGAGGGGAGGAGGAGAGGGGGAGAGAGAGAGAGAAAGAGAGGAGGAGAGGAGAGAGGAAATGGGGTTGCTTGGTAATATCATAGATATAATTATGCTTGGTAGCTAGATGTCACAATATTACCACGTCATCCTCATAGGGGGGGGGAGGGGGGAGGGAAAGGGGACACACTTGTCAATCCCATGTGAATGTGGTCCCCCCATTTGACATGGGTGGAAGGTGATTGTCACCTCACTACCAAGCCATCAAATTTTGTGCCTTGAAGTACCAAGCCATATCCATATGACATTTCCTCATATACGTATAAAGTATATATGACTATATTTAGTATACTATACATTATAGTACTAAGTATATTATACTCACGATTTTTTTAATCTGCATGTTTCCCCAGAGACATGTGCCTTTTGGATTCCTATAGTAAACTCCATTGTTATCGAGGTGCAAGGCGTAATGCGGGGCACAAAGGCCCCTTACGCGCACCATGCGCAAGGCGTACAATGATGCGCACGCCTCACTGAATTGAGGCGCACAACTCAAACTAATATTTTCCAACATAAGACAAAGAAACATATAAGCAACATGTTTATAAATTGTCACATAAAAAGACCAAGAAGTATAATTTCACCTACTAAATCACGAAAGAGTCTTAATTAGCATGCATAACATAGAGAAGTTCATAAGTTCCACAAATCACAATGCAAGATAATCTTCAATATAAGCAAAAGTCTATGAAACAAAATAAGCAAGTAACAAATAAGAAATATGTATTTTCATTTAAAATATGATATATGTATCTTTAAGTAACAATTAAGTGATTAAAAAAACATTATTGTTTATAAATTTCTAGTTAGTATTCTTAATTGCTATTTGCTAGTTAGCATGAAAAGATGGAGAATGGAGGTAACAATTACATATTTACATGTTCATAATTTTCTAGTTAGCATGCTAATTAGAGAAGGGAATGGAGGTAACAATTACATATTTACATGTTCATAATTTTCTAGTTAGCATGCTAATTAGAGAAGGAAGATACAATAAGCAAACAAGTATACTAAATTACTAATTATTATTTCCTATTTATAGGTTAAACATGAACAGATGGAGAATGTAGTAGCAACTAGCAAGAAATAGTCTATTACATGATGTAAATATGTAATATGTAAATTATTTAAAAAAACAGAAGAAAGAGTATATTACATGACGCATGTGTCAAGCGCACACGAGGCGTGTGCGAGGCGTGCGCAAGGCGCACACGAGGCGTGCGCCTCGTGTGCGTGCAGTGCCCCACCTCTGGTGCGGGGCGCAATTGTCTCAGCCCGCAGCGCCCCACGCCCGGGGCGCACGCCTCGATAACAATGGTAAACTCAGTATTCTGTATACCTAAATGATGCACAAAAGAGCTTCTAGTTGTTATAGCACAAGAAATGACATGTCTATTTATATTTTTTTAGTGATGAATTCTCTCCTAACAATTATTTTTGGCGTTTGTCAAATGAATCCTTGATGTAATTTAACTTGACGTGTAAAATATTTCTCGTATCAGGGTTTTGCAGCATCTCGAAGATGAATTTGACGCTTTAAAGGACGAGTATAAAGGTTTGGTATGTTAATAACTTAACATGGTACAAATTAGGACCTGGAATGTAACGTCTTCATCATTGAAGTTTTTTTTGCAGGAATCTACCTCAGTAAAAGAATCAAAGGCATCGTTACAAAGACAACATAACATGAGAAAGAGAGAGGTTAAATCAGGCATCAAGAGGCTGGAAAAGTTGATGAATGCTATTTCTAGTCTAGTTTCTGCTCTTAAAGAGGCAATTGACGGAACTTCTAATATCCATGGAGTTACTTTGGTTCTTGGTGCAAGTCCTGCACGACCTCAGCATGTCTATGAAATGTTCTTCCCATGTGGCAGAGTTGATTCTGGAGATACAACTGGTTGCATTAAAAGCAAAGTTGCAGAAGCTCTGTCGAGAAAGGTTTTTTTTCCTTTTAATCAACTTCATTCATGATTCTGTATTTTGATGCTTATCCGACTGTTGATCTATTGCTACTTTACCAGGTCATCCGAGCTTTGATATCAAGCGGTGCAGGGAGTGCTTCTTATACAGGTCTTTTGCTAAGAATATCTCATGATGCTAATTGAGAAGAATGTCGTTGACATCTAAAAGAAGTATTTTATTCTTTCTAGGCCCCACTAAGTTGTTCCTTCTTGTCAGAAGTCCATGTACACTGAACTTACCACTACACTTCCTCCCAAAACGTGATTTCAAATACCACAAGAAGGTTTGCATCCTTAAGCTAAACTTCTTTGATGTGTTATGCAAAATTGTTCTTTGGATGCTAAATTATGACGCTGTGTTATTTTCTACAGGCTGTACCATTCAGATTACATATTAAATCAAAGACTTACAATGCGGTCGTGGGTGGTTGTCATCATACTTCTGAAATTGGTCCCTCTGCCAGCCCATTACACTCCACTTCTGATGATGTACTTTGGTATTATCCTCACTGGGTTCAATTGCTATGCTTAGGCAAGTTATGTTGCAAAGAGATGGACACGAAATGAAGATACAAAATAACGACACACCCCATGAAGAATTTTAAATGAAACTGAATAGCATGTCCAATGTGTGTTGGTGCTGCCTGGGTGGCTAGGTTTTTTTATTTCAAAATTCCAAATTATCATTTTTTCCATCAGAGACCAAAATCTGAATAGAAAAACTGGAGATTATGTTATATTAAGGTGATGATTAAATATTTTGCAGTTATATACTAATAAGCAAACTTAAAAGTTAGAACTTTACATGACCTTAGAACTACACATTAATTTCAATGAGTGTTTTGAACGAATGAAGAGGAAAACTCCCAAACTAAAATGCTCACACAATGATAGTGATGTCTTCTGTGTATGTTGGTACTAAATCTTGAATTGATGAACTCTCCCATCACAGCCAAGTGCTACATCATCTCCTATCAAGTTCCTTTTTAACTATAGTTTCAATTTGATGATGATGCATTTTGGGTTAATTGTGAACAGATCCCCTGTAGTATCACCCAATTTCTGTTTGTTGCGAGTAGACCCCTTGTAGTTGTAGTTGTTGCGAATAGACCCGCATAGCATTGGCCCAAGTGGCGACCAAACACACCGCCCTCCAAAAAGTGAACTTTTGTCGACTCCTTATATATATACCTCATATATATATATTATCTATTATATATGAGAAATTTACTGGGACTATGCTTGGTGTGTGTCGTGGTGTGTGTATATAATTATATACGTATATACTATATTATATACATCCACACACACAACCAAGCATACCCCATTATTTCCTCATTATATGATATATATATAAATCATATATATATTATATAGTCAATATTAATATAGATATATATAATATATACGTGTGTGTGGTGTGTGTGTGTGTGTGAAGATTAAATGGGTATCATAATGTCATATGCCGACGGGATTCCCTCATATGACAATGATGTGGCAACCATCTCACCAAGTGAATTAAAGTAAGAGAGAGGAATGCCTCATAAAATACACCTTGGTGGAGATTTGTCACATCATTGTATATGAGAGAATTCCTCCTCATAATGACATATAGATACCCATAATCTTCTCTCTCCTCTCTCTCTCTCTCAATAGTTATATATATATATATATATAGTATATATGCTATATATCATATATATGAGCAAAGTATGCGGTATTCAGCTTGGACCCCCCCCCCCCAGGCATAAATTTTGTGCTGATAGTGATGTGTCACAATCCCCCCCATCCACTCACTACCCATTGTGGATTTGTTCCCACATTTGATATGAGTGGAGGGGGATTGCACACCCTCACTTACCAAGCATAACTTTTTGTGGCTTGGTACCGAAGCATACCCCATATTTTCTCTCATAAATATATATTGAGTCTAGTAATAATAATATACTGTGCGCCTATATAGTAGTATACTATAGTATCGAGTATATAATTTATATACCTTGCATGTGGGAACAAATCCACATGGGTAGTGAGTGGATGGGGATGTGACACATCACTATCAAGTATAAATTTTGTGCTTGGTACCAAGCATACCCATATTTCTCATATATATGTACAAGCACAAAAAGTGTGCTTGGTAGTGAGGTGTCAAAATCCCCCTCCACTCATTTCAAATGTGGGGAACAAATTCCACATGGGTAGTGAGTGGCATGGGATGTGACATCATCACTTATCAAGGTCATAATTTTGTGCTGGTACAAGCTATACCATATTTCTCATTATATATGAGAAATGAGTAGCTTGGGTAGTGAGTGGCACAATTTCCCATTTATTCAAATGAGGGACCACATTCACATGGGGTTTAAGGAGTGTATGGGGATATACAACCATTTTGAAATGAGTGGGAGAATTATGTCACCTCACTACCAAACATAACTTTTTGTGCTTGTACCAAGCATATCTCATTTCTCTCTCTCTCTTCTCTCTTCTCTCTCCTCTCTATATATATATATATATATTTATATATAGTATATATATATAGTAATATATATATATTATATATGTAGGAATATTGATGCTTGGTACCAAGCACAAAATTTGTGCTTGGTAGTGAGTTTGGTATTTATCCTTCCACTCATTCAACGTTGGGGGACCACATTTCAATGGTTGGATGTGGTCCCCCTAATGGATATGAGTGATGGGAATGGAGACACCTCATACCAAGCCCACAAAATTTGTGCTTGGCGCTTACCCATTTTCTCTTCTCTCCATCTCTCTCTCTCTAAATTATATATATATATAATATTTATAATATATAGCAATTGAGTTTCTATCCTCACCAATAGAACTATAAGCGGTCTATCTGCGTCCTCAAACACTTTTTAATGATTTTAAGAGAAAAAATCACTCAGGGGGTCTATTCGCGACAAATAGAGCTACAGGGGGTCTATTTGCAATAAATAGAATTGCTTGAGGTCTCTTTGCAATTGGGTGATACTTCTTGGGTCTGTTCGCAATTAACCCTTTTGGTTATATTCCTTCTATTTTTATGTCAACCTTTTGATCAACATCTCTCAAGCTTGTGAACGTAACATACTTTACATTTTTGTTACAGGTTCCAATGCAGGCATACGGTTAGAGGATTACCTTCTAAGGCTTCAGAAGCAGGATGTTGAGAATAGTACATTTGTGCTTGAAGCCTTTCTTTTTTTCAACAATGACATGGTTTTTAGATGAAGGACATGGTTTCAAACGTATTGACTATAAAGCAACTCTCTTATCTTTTGATTGAGGCTTAAGATTTCTTACGCGCTTCATTGAAATATTAGCTGAGATGTACTGTATATGAGGTGAAGAATCTAAATTCCTATAGGTATTGTAACATTTGCTTGAAATAATATGCGTGAATGCTTGGAATGGGTTTTGAACTATTACGATTTGAATTTTCAAGGAATTTGTGATTGAAAGTGCCAGCAACCGGCATTTATGGCTTTGGTGAAGAATGTACTATGTGGCTATTAGATGTATCATTTGTAACAGATAGAAATGTAAAACTTTTGTTTAATGCAAGGCAGGATGATTGTTGATAGGTTCTTTCAGAAGAATTGTCCTTTCAGCTTGCTACTTTCTTACCCATTGGACTTTCTTACCCATTGGAGAAGGCAAAAATACCGAATTGGTATATTTTATTTATTCTTAGTGACAGTTTGATATATATTTATTTTTGCGGCGACATATTGGTATATTATTTTTTCTCCGGCAACAAATGAGCCTCAAATTTCGCCGGACCCAAATTTCTGGCGAAATTTCTCACGTGACGTCTCACGTGGTGCGAACGTGGCTGCCAACGTGCTTTCTAGCGTCATAAATCAGCTCCAATCGTAAACCCTAACCCTTCAATCTCCTTCCTCCTCAACCTCTCCCTCTCCTCCGCTCCTCCGCTCCTCTCGCCTCTCCGACGCCCCCATACCTTCAACCTCTTCAAATCCTCCCTTGACTCTCGACCCGCCCCCTCCCTCTATACAATCTCCTCATCTCCGCATTCGCCAAACACAACCAACACCAACAAGCTCTACAATGGTACCATGCCATGATCCAAGATCGAGTCAAGCCCGATGTGTACATTTTTAACATCCTCATCGATAGCTCGAATCGTTTTCGGTAGCGACTTGCGAGATTTTGAGCAATGGGCTTCGTAGAGAAGGGAGAGCTTTAGAAATGTGCGAGATTTTGATGGGTTTCTTAGCGAAAGGAGCTGTGCCTGATGGGTTCGATTGCTTTATGTTAGTCGGAGCTTTATGCAACTATGGGAATGAGGATAGAGCTGTTGTGACTTGTAGCTCATTAATGGAGAGCTTGAGGAAATGTGGGAAGATGATAAAGCTATTGGGTTCATTTAAAAGAGTGATGGAGAAGGGGATGGTTTTGGATGGGATAAGTTGCAATTGTTTGACACTGGGAGCCACACTGGCAACCACGTTCACATCAAGTGAGGCGTCACGTGAGAAATTTTTGCCAAAAATTTGGGTCTGGCCAAATTTGAGGCTCATTTGTCGCCAAAGAAAAAAATAATATACCAATATGTCGCCGGAGAAAAAAAAACCAATATGTCATTGGAAAAAATATATATACCAAACTATCACTAAGGGTAAACAAAATATACCAATTTGATATTTTTGCCCATTGGAAAATGCTAATTATACTACATATATTATATAATAATTTTATAATATACCTACCACAAGCAAATATGTAGGTCCTTCCTTGAAAATCGTTAAAAAATGCGAGTCTCCTTGGATTCTAGTCCTTCGTTTGTGGTAGTAGAAAAGTAGTTTTGGGTTTATAGTATACTAGGTGGAATGCACGTGCACTGCACGTAATTAAATATTTAATTATTTAATTTAAGTTTATTTATTTTACTATAACATGCTTGCAAAAAACTTTATAATTATCATAATATATTAATTTTTTTAGATATTTCCATATGTAAAATCTTGTTACTTTTAACATTTTGTCTTTCAAAGAAATATTAACGTTTGAAATTTTAAAATATTACTGATTTAAGATTAATTAGTAATTTGATTGTATAATTTCAAAATATTAATGATGTAAGGGACCTATATGAAAAAAACTATTATTATTAACTAAAAAAATAAATTCTTGAATTCATCAAACAAAAAGAGTAGGTTTTATCTAGTCATTAAGTATTTTGTCCCTGTTATAAAAAATTACTTCCACCTATTGTTTACTTCCACTTGTTTTTTATCCGGCGACCGAGTATTATAGATATTCAAGAATTTTTTTCTAGAATTTTCTAAGTTAGAATGTACAAATTCAATCAAGAAAGAAAATATGAATTATGTGATTAATTCCAAAATCTGATATTGTACTCTTTTTATATCTTCCCAACTACTAATTGATCTGTCAAAACAAATACTCTCTAGTTTTAGAAAATTATAAAATATAGTCTGAGAATGATTTATACATATTATGCACTAATATTTATTGTATTTAACAAAATAATTCATATCCATCCAATGCCAAACAACATCCAAAAAATTAGCTTAAGGAGTTACAAGAATACAATATCCACAACAATACTCATATCCAAGCTATGAGCTTCATAAACTTATAAGAAGGTGAGTAATATAAAATGACAACTTAATTTGTCTTGTCAAATAATTTATTACAAATTATGAAAGACAAGGGGAATCAGAAGGATCACATACACATCTCAAATAAATATTAAGATTCTCGTAGGGATCTTATAGCAAAAGATTTTCAGAGTTAATGTGTAGGATAAATTTAAGGACAAATAACCCAAACCAGTTCGCTGAGTGATAGACATGCTATAAACTTCACTCTTATAAAATTGATGTCATATGGAACTTAAGTTGTGCTTTTGTTTAAGGGTTAATTTTAGAAAACTTCCCTCTCAACTATAGGGGATGTAAGCCCCTCACACGCTCCCCCCCCACCCACCCACCCAAAAAAATAATAATAAATAAAACCAAGTAAATTTCTGCCAAGTTTTGGGTGTTCTGTAGATAATCTATCTCAACTTAAATTTTTTTAATTTAACCCATATAGACTTTTCTCACTTAAATTTAACCTCTCAAAATTAATATCATTGAGTCTTATCTATTATGTGACAAATATTTGACTTGGAAAGACCAAAATATCCAGTTATAAAAGAATTACCTTGATTTTTGCCAAATGAAAGAAAAAGAGGTGATATAGGAAAAAAGAACTGTAAATTGGTTGTGGTCCTTTTATTATCAGTTGAGAGTTTCTTTTTAACTAAAATTGCTTTCTTTAAGAGGATATTTTGTCCACATCATATATTAAAGTAACTATGTTAAGGGGGTTTGTCGACAGAAGTGTTAAAGATTAGAGGAGTTTTTATGAGACACGCTATAGTTGAGAGGTGTTTTTTAAAATTACACTAAAATTTAGAGGGGTTATCTATAAAACCCCTCATGATAAGGGGTTTTTGTTAAATTAAATCAGTTGATTAGGCTTTTAAGACAATCCCTAGAGAGGGTTTTTAAAAAATTAACTCTTCTTTTAAATATGGCTTATTTATAATCTTTCCCTCAAAATTTTAATAATTCAATATTAGTCCCTAAAATTATGAGTAATTTCAAAATTTTGAGGGAACAACATAGAATTATTGAATATTTAAAATAAAAGGACTAATATCTAAATAACCTTTACATATTTTCACTTATAGGCATTGCATTAAATATTGATCGATATATTGCTATATCGGTCAATATATCGGGTTAAAGACTTTATATCGATAATATTTTATATTATTTTTTTTGTTTGGTGATTTTTTTGATACATCGACTGTTACCAAATATAAGGTTTGATATATCCCTTTGAAGATATCAAAAAATCGTGTCATTTATAATTTGATTGTGGACTCGGGTTTAGATCGTGTTTGGAAAACAAAATCAGAACCCACAAAACCCACAAAGGCCACAGTTCTTCTCTCAAACTTCTCCACTCTCGACTCTCCCAAATCTTAAGCATATATCGATGCTTATTCTTATGTTGAAAATTTATTAATATGTTAGATTTCATATTACAATGTCATGTTCTGTATGAATATTATCTCATATGACACCCAATATTATATACATATCTCTGATTTTTTCAATTCGATATCATGGATTTTATTTGTTCAATATTTATCTAATGTCCGACTCTTTGTAGCAGTCCTTCAAAGTCCACTTCTAAAGTTTTCTAAGCGAAATATATAATTTCAGGAAATAATTCAAAATCTTGAGACCCATTCAAAATATGATGCTTTAATTTTTCCACATCTCCTCTACTATATAATTATAAGTTAAGCATCTAGCCTCGTATTGTATGACGAATATTATTTATCAATGAGATCATATACTATTGTTTGTGGATCACAAATGTTTTAAATCTTTTATAGGCTTAACTGAACTTAAATACCTTATAATTTACCAAAATTATATTTATATACCCCCACTTGTATCTTGCTGCACTTTTTTATTTTATTTTAGATAGCGTATATTGCTGCATTTAAATATCCTAATGTTTTCTAGAATTTTATGTTTGTATCTTCTGTCTAGTTACCTAAACATAAGAATGCTCTTTGCAAGTTTCCTATATGAGCGTCATGATATAATTTTAGGATAATTTTATGTTTACTACTCTTTTCATAAATACTTTATTAACATGCAATTATCTATTAATATATTATTATACATTACTAATAATTAATATGATGTAGAGTTTTACAATAACGTTAGAAGTTTTAGAGACCAAATTATACAAACTTAAAGTGACATTGTTAATTAATTTAGTTTAGTTAGTATTAGAATGTAATATCAAAAAAGAGTAGGGATAATATAGTCACTGGAAAGTTTTCCATAACTCTCTTTTTTAAAGGGAGTATATGATTTATCACTACTTATTTTTATTACCTTTTATTGCTTCAACCACATGGCTTATAATCTACCAAAAATTAAGCTAGGGTATCCTAACTTATTTTTTGGTGTAGTATAAACCGAAATAAGCCACTTGCTAAACATCTTAAAGTGGCTTATAAGTCACTTTGACCACTTGCCAAACATGCTTTTAGTTGCTCTTGTAATGAAAGAGTTTTTTTTTGCCGTTTCACATTCTTTCATTTTCTTAGATGGTCGTAAAGGTGTACACTAACATATAAGATAGTTATACATGCTAACATCTAAGATAAATCAGTAATTGAAAGTCATAAATTGTTCATATTTATGATAAAATGTAAGAGAATTGACTGAGATGATTTGGCAATTAAGAGATGTTAAAAATATTGTATCATCAGAATTACCAAGTCTAATGAACTCTGGAGTGTCGGCCACGTGTCATAGTTAATTGGTCGAATCTTACCGATCCGGAAGCTTGACTCAGATGAGATAATCACTGACCCTCCTGGCAGCTCAAGTCCGAGATAAAAGGCGTCTTCGAGCCATAGTACGCCAAAAGGAGCCGGGTTCAAGACGAAATGCGTCTTCTACTCCGAAACTCACTAGAGAATGTCTCAAATAACGAGACACCCTATCAGCTTCAATAGTCACACTTCACTGCTCAATCACAGTCACATTTAATGTTAAGTCAAAGTCATTATGACTCTTCGGGTCGAAGTAATGACTCCTCGGACCACGCTAGCACTTCAGCCGTTCTGTCATTGTCGTATTAAACACGAAGATGACTCATCCAACTGGTTGCCAGTACTTGTAAAGTGTAGTCTGATCAGCCGACTACACCGACCCAACCAAATTATTAATATGCCCCTCTCAACCCTCTATAAATAGTGGGCAATCTCCACTATTCAAAGATATGCAATTTTATGCTACATAATACCTTAAAACTAGATTCGGCATATTTACTCAATCATTGACTAACTTATAACCTCCTTTGTGCAGGAATCTTCTTCCCTTGTGTTGATTAGCCATCAAAGAATATCAAAGGACCATAAACTCCTCCAAATATCTAGCTACCCCACAACTAACTATCTGATATAAACAATAAGATTATTAGAATGGTAGTTAAACAATAAGATTATTAGAATGGTAGTTATCTAAATGGAGGGGATAACCCTTAACATAATTGAATGAAAATAATAAGATTCATATAGCGGATGTCAAAATTTTGGGTTAAAAGCTTCATTGTTGCCATTTTGTTACAATTCTTACATTCTCTTTCACAGATTTTGCAGTGGCCGGTTTTTCTGGCACATCGAAAAATGACATTTTAAGTTGTAATAAAAATTACACGGTACGTATAAAAGCATGACAAAGAACCGCTATTTATGCATTTTAAAAAGAAATAAACAGAGAACACAATGATATCAATTATCAAACTCCCCCATTAAACCGAGAACTATGCTAGTCTGGCTACAATCTTTTTTATCAAAAAGAAAAGCGAGGGGAAAAAATTCCTTGCATAGCAAAAAAGCACGCCTTTAAATCGATTCTAACAATTAGTCTGCAAAGCATATTAATCCCATCAAAAGAATTGAAAAAAAAAAAGATTCAAATAGTTTCATGAAATACTACAATTTCAAATACTAAGCAATAGATCGACAGCTCTTCAATTTAACATCAATAGCATCATGAGATCTTGTGTAAGTCTATCCGGATCAAATCGCCTGTTGCCATCCATTTACTTAGAAAATCAATCACCTCTCGCATAAAATTAACAACTGTCAACAACGAAAAAAAATAATATATATACACAGTTGTAAATAGGCTTAGAATGATGCTTCTACTTCCCTGTTTCTCCACGTTCGAGGCGAGGACCCACTGTTAATATTACTAGCACCGTCTGAAAAATCAACATATCAAACTAGTTTGATTCATGTTCTAGAAGACTTCAAATTATGTTAAAATTTTACAATATACATTTGATGATGCGTTGAGCAAGATGTATGGTGCCGATCGTGAATTTAGTGAGCCGATTAACATGTGCACATTTTCTATCCTTAGAATGGATTTCGAATGTTCAAATTTTAGGGAAGAAAATCTTTTTTTTATTAAAACTAATAACCTTTATCAGCATTTTATCCATGAATATATGGTGGGGGTGAAAGTAATTAATACTGAAAAATCCCAAAAGAATCCATTTTATTGAATAAGATCACTGATCAATTTACACTGAAAAAGAAAATGACCATACCCGTTGTGGCGATTTCCCTCTCTGTCTTCTCCAACTTGAAGCAATTCAAGCAAATCAAAGTCGGGTACTGCATGGTTCCACTCTGCAAAAACTCCAAATCATTCTCTTGAAATTTATCCTCTTTAATTTTGTTGAGGCATTACATCCACTCATAGATAAGTGATGGTCAAACGGCTTTTACTCGGAGAACCTTTGAATTTTGGGTGGGCCATCGTGGTTTCATGATATACTATAAAAATATGTTACTAGCTCGCATGCCAGCGTAGCTGGAGTAGCTCAGTTGGTTAGAGCGTGTGGCTGTTAACCACAAGGTCGAAGGTTCAAGCCCTTCCTCTAGCGTTGCCAATCCTTTTTTTCAAAAAGGACCTTGCTGATATACACTTTTGCATATTAGTAAGCATTTCGGCCGTCGTGCACTTTTTCTTTCTAAACCTTAACTTTACTTAAACAAAATTTATAGTTATATGTAATTCACATTGGTCAATCCAGGCTTTTGTAGCAGGTGGTAGGCTAGTTACAATGGGGTAGTTGAATGATGAATTAAATAGTTGAATGGGTGTAATGGGGGTGTTGAATGGGGTGTTGAAAATGAGGTGGATTAAATAGAGTTGGAAGAATTCAACATGTTGAAAGTGGAGCCCGCGCTGGACACGTGGCGGGCTCTGGATTAGCCACGCCGAGCGCTGCAGGGGGGCGCTGACCCACGCGCAGAGGCTGGTGGGATGGGGACACGTGTTTTTTTCGTATTGGCTGCTGTGATTTTTGAGATTTTTATCTCATCCTAATTATTTGGGGTCAATTATTTCATAGTAAATGAATTTTTTTTAATTTTTTTTCACCAAAAGTCATCATTTTTTATACTCTATAAATAGAGTCTTGTTTCATTTCATTTGGACACAGAAAAAAAACGCATTTTTTCCCTCTAATTTTTCTATTAGCCTCCAATAAACTCTTGCTTAGTAGCTCTAAACATCTTTTTTAGCAAAATGGATCCCAACAATAACCCTTTCAACACCCAAAATTCTACTAATTACCCTTTCAACTACCCAAATCCCAACAATTATCAATTTCAAAATCAATCTTCCAACCAACAATGTCCCCGAAATATGCCAAATTATGGATTTGCTCCAAATTTCATCATGCCGTCATCTGTTCCAAATTATCGTCCATATTATGGATCAATGATGCCATATTCATCTCAAGCACCCCCTTATTATTCTTCTACTCCAATGGGAAATGAAAATGTTCAGAATGTTGGAGCAAATGAATTTCCCGAATTTTCTACACAAATGGCTCTTGGTGGCATGAGCGGTGGTCATGAAGCCACTCCAAATCCAGAGGATTCAACTCCTGCTCGCCGGAAAAGCCCCAGATGGACCACCGAGCAAAATTTGGTTCTACTTAGTGGGTGGATTAAATATGGAACAGATAGTGTTGTTGGGAGAAACCAAAAAAGTGAATCATACTGGGGTAAAATTGCTGATTACTGTAATGAGCATTGCTCATTTGATCCTCCCCATGATGGAGCTGCGTGCAGAAATCATTACAACTACATGAACAAAATATCGGGCAAATGGATTGGCGCTTATGATAATGCTAAGCGTATGCAACAAAGCGGGTGGTCGGAGAATGATGTATTGGCGAAGGCGCAGGAATTATATTCAGGTGGTAAGAGCGTCCATTTTAATTTAATGACAGAATGGCTCGCTGTCCGTGATCAACCACGTTATGGTAGTCAGGTAGGAGGAAATACTGGCTCAGGAAGTAGTGGATCTAAGAGAGCCCACGAGAGTGATGCAAGTGATTCCAACTCCGTAGGATCTAGTGCTCGCCCAATAGGGAGGGATGCAGCTAAAAAAAGGGTAAAAAGAAAGGCAAGGGCGCAGCCTTGGAATCGGTCAATGAAGAGTGGGCAGAATTCAAACAATTTAAGGAGCAAGAGTTGGAACGATTGGACAAAATAGCCATGAGGCAAGAGGAGGCTAACCAATTGATGAAAGAAAGGACTGAGGCTAAGAAGATGAAGATGTTTATGAAGCTAAGTTCAAAGGAGCATCTCGATGACCGGAGCAAAGAGCTGTTGGAAAAGCTAGGCCAGGATCTGTTTGGAAATTAAATGTTGTCAAGACTCTGAATTCAACCACTCAATCTGATATTTAACTCCATTCCATTATTTGTTTGGAGTCCGTCCATTCCAACCACTCAATTTCTTATAAATAGGGGCTCATTCTTCCATTGATGTACCAATATCCACAAATCTCATCTATCTAAAAAAGTATCAATGGATCCATCTGAATTTCCTTTTGATATTGAAGCTTACAAAAGACAGTCTGAAATCGAAGAGAGGTATATCGTCAACCGGTTTAGGGAGCGTCGAAACAAAATAGAGGAAGACTACGCACCTCGTAGCAAGAGAAAATATTTCAAGAGGGATCATGCAGCGGCAAACCAAAGATTGATTGACGACTACTTTGCCAATCAACCAACATATTACAATGCAATGTTTCGCCGGCGATTCCGGATGCAAAAACATGTTTTCCTTCGGATCGTCGGGGACCTATCAAGCAGTGACAACTACTTCACCCAAAGAGTTGACGCAGCCAATAAAGAAGGTATATCTCCATTAGCAAAATGTACCACGGCCATGCAAATGTTAGCATATGGTGTGGCAGCCGACGCGGTCGATGAATACATCAAAATAGGAGGTACTACAGCAATGGAGTGCTTGCGTAGATTTTGTAAAGGAATCATACAATTGTATGAGCCTGTGTATCTCAGAGCCCCAACTCAAGAGGACCTGCAAAGAATATTGCAGGTCAGTGAACTGCGGGGTTCCCGGGGATGATTGGGAGTATTGATTGCATGCACTGGGAATGGAAAAATTGTCCTATAGCATGGGAAGGTCAATTTACTCGGGGAGATAAGGGAACCACCACTGTAATTCTTGAAGCAGTTGCATCTTATGATCTATGGATCTGGCATGCCTTTTTTGGATGTCCGGGAACATTGAACGATATAAATGTTCTAGACCGTTCACCAGTGTTCAATGATGTTGAACAAGGAAATACTCCAAAAGTGAACTTCTTCGTGAACCAACGTCCGTATAATATGGCATACTATCTAGCTGACGGTATCTACCCTTCCTATCCGACTTTCGTCAAATCAATTAGACTGCCTCAGAGTGAACCAGACAAGTTATTTGCACAATATCAGGAGGGATGTCGGAAGGACATCGAACGTGCATTTGGAGTGTTGCAGCCTCGATTTAAAATCATTCGCGAACCAGATCGCATGTGGGACATAGCCGATTTGGCTATCATCATGAGGTCATGTATCATATTGCATAATATGATTGTTGAGGATGAACGAGATACATATGCTCAACGTTGGACCGATTTTGATCAATCTGAGGCAAGTGGGTCTAGTACACCGCAACCATTCTCGACCGAGGTGCTACCTGCATTTGCAAATCATGTGCGTGCTAGATCCGAGTTGCGTGATTCAAATGTACATCACGAATTGCAAGCAGATCTAGTCAAACACATATGGGCAAAATTCAGAATGTTTCGTGATTAAAGAAATTTTTAAGTCTCTGTATGTGATTTAAGAGCTTTATTGTTTGTGAGTTGAGTCTATTGTACTAATTAAGTTATGTGTGTTTTATTAGTTGTGTCGTGTGCTTATTAGTGTATTGTATTGCATTTTAAGTTTTTTGTAACTTTATTTGTTTTAATAATAATTATCCCTATTTCTCTTCTTTAATACTTGCAAGAAAAAAAATTAATTAAGAATATAAAATAAGAAAGAAAAAATATTTAAAAAATTATTTAACTTTTAATTATTTTAATTTAATTTCAATCGATAATTGTTATTAATATGTAATCACAAAAACAAAAACACAAAAGAAAATAAGAATATGAAATAAAAGTGGTGGGGTAGGGTGTTGAATTTTATTAAACAAAACCATTGTAGAGTGTAAAAGTTGAGTGGGTGTTGAATTATTAGGTGGAAGAGAGAGAAAATGATGTGGAGTGTTAAAAAGTAAAAAGTAGGGTGTTGAAAAACAAAACCATTGTTGATAAAGTAAGCATGGATATATAGAGTGTTATTATGAAGTGGGAACAGGCAAATGAGGAAAACAAAAAGCATGATACAATATTTTTTCTAGCGTTTCGATAATTCCCATCTCACCTAAATATATTTCTTCAAGTCTTCTTGTTAGGGTCATTTGCTTACCTCGGTTTTTTTTACCACTCTTGAGAGGAATTTCAATGTTTGATTAGAAGTATTTGGAACAACAAATGTTTTTATAATATCATGTTATTTTAACTTTTGTGGTTACCGTACTCTTCAAATTGAGCGTGTTGTTTTTAACGTATTTTGTTTTCAGAACAACCTTTGGATATTGCAACAACATCCAATCAAAGCACATCGTGGAAACTTCAATCTAGTTGAAACAACATGAAACTCCAATTTCTCCAATTTCTCCAATCCAAACACACTCAAAATCACACGGTTTGATACACTATAATATTCAAAACACTATTTTAAGTTCTATGGAAGCCTGGAGAGCGTCACGGTTCATTGTGACAAGAAGTAACAAAGAGCGATAATGGCTTATGAGACCTCCCTGTCCCGTCCCCACGCTCTATCACCCACCCCTATTCTCTCTCTCTCCACCCCACCAGAAAGAGGCTTATGAAACTTATCCTTGTAATCCATGAGCCTCTCTTACAGATAGCGTAATGGTGTGTGTCTTCCAAAATACATATTCTTCTATGCTCGGTGTTGTAACCCCCTAAAAATACTAAATAGTAACATTCACAAAGAAATCGACACGTGTCTTACACTATACCTAATCTAACTAATTCAAGACCAAGATAACATTTGCCTCAACACAACAGATTTGATTGGCTGACATCTCGTGTAACCAAGTCAAAAGGCGGTACTACTCAGTCAACCCCTCAATTGACTCCACAAGCGACCTAACTCGGCCCACTGTTCAACTGACATCTCACGTAACCGAGTCAAAAGACGGTATTTCTCGGCCATAGACCTGAGGAGTTGAAAGATGACATTTACCTCAAACACCTTGCTAGCCGACTACTCTCGCATTAACTGCCTTGACAACATC